GTGCATTTAATCTGTTTTCCTCTTTAGTTTTTTCATCTCCTTCATAAGAAATATTTAAAAAGTTTTCATCAATAGAATCAAATTGTTCATTTAATTTATTTCCGTTACAAAGACAATTCTTTCGAAAATTCTCTAGTAAAGCTTCACAAGTAAATAAATAATTAGAACGTTGTATTAAAGTTTTATCAATTATTGGAATTGGTTCTCCTCCATCTCCATCAGCAATAACTGAAACACTTTGGGGAGAAGATGGACTACTAAATTGAAAAAGAAAATTATTTTTAAAAGAATTTATTTTCTACATTGAACGATCTCCTGCTAATAAAGAAGATGGACTATCAAAATTACCACCATTTCTTTCACCTAAAAACAATCTTTGATTTACTTCTCTTTCAAGAATTGCAGGCATTTGATGATTTTCTAAACTTATTGGTTGAAAAGTAATTTTTCTTTTCTTTCTAGCAATATTATGGTCATCATTAGAAGATGTCAAAAATGAAGGAGAATCAATCAAAACATCCTCATTATTGCCCATAGAACTTCCATTTCTTTGAATTTTTTGCTGATTTTTTACTTGCTAGAGAAATTTTAAAAAAATATTTTTTTAATTTCTTCAAAAACACCTCAGAGCACGATTGAAGTATTTCTTCTAAACAAGTAGTTGAAGTAGAGGATGTATGTGCTAAATCTGCCTGTCCAGCAAGAACACTATCCAAATTGTAAGTATTATTTGAATCTGTATTTAATTCTGATGCCCAATCAGTTAAATCTTCCAATTTAAGTGGAGCACTTAATTCAAGAAAATGACGTTGAAATGAATTCTGAAAATAATTTTTTAAAAATTAAAAAAGAAGTCAGTACATTAATAGGCGAATTTTGAGGTTTAATTGAAGGTAATTGTTGTTGAGGAATAAAAGAACTGGCAGCAAAATTAGAAGCACCATTCCCTAGAGAAATGCTCTTTGAATCACTCGTATTTGGACCAATCTTTGGAGATGGATAGCTTCGAAGTGTTCGATAAATACGTTCAGCTTTATTAAACTCGTAAGCAAAGATTACAAAAGTTCCTGAAAATAAAGGAAAAAAATATTTTGAAAAAAAGTCCGTTTAATTGTAGGATGTGAGAGAAATAGTTTCTAAATCACCCATACACGTATGGGTGTAAGTAAAAATCTGTATATAAAGAACCGTTTTTTCTAACGTAATACTAACTAGGAAAGGGAGGAGGACATTGTTAGAATAAATAAAAGTATTTTTCAAAACCCACCAGGAAGACATTGATCTCTATTTCCATCACAAGCATAAAAAATCTTTTTAACAAGATCAAAAACTGGATGTTTACAATAATAACAGGCTACAAAATTAAAAGTAAAATAATTTTTATTTTAAATAAATTCACCAAAAAGGCACTGTGGTTTGCATAAAATACTTGTAGCATCAGAAATAATATAACGGTTAAAGACAAGAGTATTTCTATCATTGTCAAAATGAACAGAACTAAAACGTGTTGAGGATTTACACTTTTTAGCTAGAAATATTTAAAGAATTTTTTTTTAATTTAAAAGAAAGCCCCACAATTCCATGGAGTCAAATCATCAATTGTTAAATCTTTAATGCTATGTGCTGCTGATCCATCCATAATATAAACAAAAGCCTCTCGCCCGTTAGAATCGAGAGGACGGTTAGGTCTTGTACGAAGAACACGACTTGTGTCCACACTAAAATTATAGGAAAATAAAAATAATTCAGAAAAAAAAAATAAATCACCAATTTCCAATATTAAAAACTAATTTAGCCGCCGTTTGAGAAGAAGACATAAATTCACGACAATAATAATTTTCCATTATTTTAATAAAAAATATTCTAAGGTTACTACAAATAATTACATATTCAAAAATTAAATTACAAAAATATTTATAAACGGTAGGATTCGTACTTATTTTGGAAGTACAGTACTTTACTCATTAGATAAATACAGTAAATTGCAAAAATTTAAAAATAGATAAATTGCCAAAATTCATATTTGAATGGCAAAATGAAACTATGTTCAAATTTAAGGAATGAAAGTTTCCTAGTGGAGATTTCCCGTGATGAGAAATTTATACACTATAATTTTCTGAAACAGAAACGGGAATTCCCGAAAAAATTTTAATTTTTTATTTTCGGAAATCGGAACGGCCGGATCTCCCTGGTACAGAAAAAAAGTTTTGACTCATTTAAAAACTTAAAAATAAAAAAACAAAAAAGTAATTATGAAAATTTATAATTTAGTCTGAAATGAGAGAAGTTTGTTTAATATCAAGTTTAACAATAAAATAAAATTCCGGTGTATAAATGTAAATTTAACTTGTGAATAAGAAAATTATTTCTAATATATGTATTTATGTTTGTCGTGTCTATGAAAAAAAAGAAAAATTTACGAATGTAGAGAAGGAAAACAGTAAGTAGTAGAGTAAAATGAAAGTCGGGTTGGTTGGTCGGACATTTAATACTACTCTGGCTTTTCTCTCAATGATGTTGAGTTTGCGAAAATCGATAATGTTCGGGACGTTGACGACGCGGGCGGTCGATCTCTCCTCAACATACACACAACATTCCGTCCATTTCGACATTCTTCCCTTTCCTCCAACAAAGCAGCAGCATTTGCGAAAATTTTTAGTTGAGATTAAGAGAGGAAGAATGTATAGAATAAAAAGAAGGGGTTTTTGGTAGGGAGGATGACGGAGGAGAGTGCTCGGGCTGTCGACGACGAAAAAAGATAGAAGCTCCGACCTTAACCGGCTTTTCTCATATTTATGTGATTTTGGTTATATTTAATGTTGATTATTTATTTACAAGTTTAAAATTAAAATTTATGTAGTATATAAAATTAATGTTATTATTATTAGTGTTTTTACTGTAGCTAATCTAAAAGAATTTAATTTCTTTCATCTTTTAAAAAATGCTACAACATTGCTGTTGTCAAATTCTTATAAAATGCATTACAATGATGCTTCTACAGGAAATGGGAACTTCTACATATGTCTTGAAAGTTTTAGAGATGTGATTAATCCATTAGTTTTATTTGGCTTTGATTAATTTAATTTAAATTTTATTTTGTATATTTAATTTAATGTTTTTTATTCATTTTCATTAACTATAACAATAAACAATTGTAAATTACTTAAAGTTTTTACAAAAATTACGTTAACTTTATAAACAAAAAAATTTGTTAATTAAGAATAATTTTTTTTTAAATTAAATCAAAATCCAGTAAGGTTCATTTTAGATAAAAATATTCCAATAATAATATAACTTTAAAAATAAATAATATAATTAATAAATTATTTACCTAAATAATTAACTTTTTATTACACTCGGCCCTCAAATTTAGTTTCGCAAAAATAAGATATGCACTTGAATTTTATTTTAGATAGTTATTTTTTTTTAATTTAACAAATATGTTAATTTTCGAATTCAATTTTAAATCGAAATTTTTTTGGCCAAACTGACACGTTCGAAATTTATATTTAGACTCGGCACCCCCCCAAACCTCAAAAATATCGAAAAACACTTTTTCTTTATTTTCTCGGGAGATAAAAAATGAGAAAAAGAGGAAACGCTAATCTGACTTTTACCCTCAATTTTAGATACCGTATTTACTCGATTAATTCCCCCGAGGAATTATTTTTTCAACTCTTCCCTGGCATGGGGAATTAATAGAGGGTGGGGAATTAATCGAGTAAATACGGTACTCCTCGTTTTCACATCGATATCTAAAATCGAGGTCTGATTGTATATTCAAAATAAAATTTAACCTTCTTAAAATTTAATTTAAATATATTAAAGTTTAGAATTAATGTTTTATTTCTTCAATTTGTTTATTTCTTCAAATCCAGCCTCAAATCCATAAATTATAGCAGACTTTTGTAATAATTTAATTAAAATTGACAAAGAAGAAAGAAATATTAAAATATTTTATTAAAAATAATTTAAATAATAAAATTATTGTCTTACATTTTAATTTTTCTTAACATTTTAATTTAAAACCCTTAAAGTTTTCTTTAATTAAAATACCAGAATTTAACAAAAAAATGAAATTTTACGTAATTAATTAAACAAATAATTGTTTAATTATTATTTTTTGTTTGTTAAGGAGCTCAAGAGAGAGAAAGGACAATACTTAAGTGAATGACCGACACTTATTATTTACAATAAAGAAAATAAATCGGAAATAAAAAAAAGAGGTTTTATTGTAAAGACAGGTCAAAAACACGTCTACACACAAATATATTTAATTAACAAATATTTGCCAAAAGAATTGTTCGGATTAAGAAAATAAAATTATTTATTTTTTTTATTTAATTAGCTATGGTCAAATAAAAAATCTCAAAAACAAAAAAATATTTTGTCGGAAATAATCAATTGGACAAACGGAACAAGGAAGTAATTGAAAGAAAAAAAAATAAAGAAAAAAAAAGAAACAATAACAAAGACTGAACAAATAAATGTTTTTAAGTATATACGTACATAAATTCCGGAAAAATATTTAATTATTGTAAGAGAGAAAACGGAAGGGGGTAAGTGAATGGACTAAAAGAAAGGGACAGATCGTGCTCAAGGCACAAAAGAAAAGGTTTTTTATTTAGCACTCTCGGAAATTTTTTGGTTGATTTTTTTTTGCTTTTTTTCAAAAAAATATTTTCATTATTTTTTTAATAATTAAAATTAATTTAAATTGTTTTAAATTAAATATAACAACTTTCAATAAAGTTAATCGGGAATTATTTTTGAGATAATTTTTGTCGGTTTCTGTGAAAGAATCTTTTAAAAGACACAAATTAGATATTTAATTTAAAATATGTCAAATTCAAATATACATATAATTGTCTTAAAAATCCAGAAATATTTTTAAAATTCCGAAGGTTTCTTCTAATTATGGCTTTTTTTTTAATTAAATATTATCTTAAATATGCAAATTTATTTTTTTAAAAATCAAAACATTTTAGGGTTAATTGTCGATGAAATATTTTATTTTTAACTTAGAAAATTGTTTTTTGTTTATTAATTTTATTTCAATTTGCTCAATGTTGTTGCAAGTAAATTCAAAACCTTTATTACCTAATCACCTTGTTGAAGAGGATTTTATAAATGCAGCTTTTGTTAGAAATAATAGACATGCAAAATTGGTATTTGATGATCAACGATTTCATAAAGTGAGCAAGTATGGTTTTAAAAAATAAATTTAAATATATAAATTGAAATTTTGGAAGAGGAGGGAATAAAAAAATTTTTTTAAAGGAAAAGTGAAGAAAAAAATCAAAAGTTAATAATATTTAAATTATTAAGAGACAAAGACGCGGATCAGTCAGTGTATTGGAATCGGACAAATGGCTAAACGGAAGAATTCCTTATGTTTTATCAACAGCATATAGTAAGCATTTTCTGAGAATTTTCTTAACATTCTTCTAAAAATTAATTTAATAAATAATATAATTTATTATTAGGTATATTAATAAATTAAATATTAATTAAAAACTAAAATTATTCTTATATTTTTAGCACCCCAACAAAGAGCAGTTCTTGCATTAGCAATTTCTGCTTATAACGCAAAAACATGTATACGGTACTTATACGGGAAATATTTGTTTATTTTTTTAAAGATTTGTACCAAAAACCTCCACAGATGTAGATTATGTTGATATTGCAAAAATTGATGGGTAAAAATAATTTTGGAAATTAATTTATAAAAATAAATTCTTTTAGATGTTTTGCTGATTTTTCGAGAGTTGGAGGCCGGCAACAAGTTTCCTTAGTTGATGAATGTATTGAATACGCAACTATTATACATGAATTTATGCATGTTATAGGATTGTATGTTTTTAATAAATAAATAAAAAATATTTGGAGAAGGGATGAACAAATTTTGTTTTGGATAAATTAGAGTATATCCATTTAGATCTCAGATTTATCAAAATTATTATTTTTTGTTAGAAAATAGAGGAATTCTGTTTGATTAATTTTTACAAAAAAATAAAATTAATTAATTACTCTTAAATAGTATTCATGAACATCAGCGTGAAGATAGAGACGGTTTTGTGCGTATTGTGTGGGAAAATGTAATTGATGGTATTTGTAATATTTTAAATTTATTCTTAAATATAATTTAAAAGGCGCGAATGCTGATTTTGAAAAATTAAGTTCAATGGGATTAAGTAATTACGGAGAACGTTATGATTATTTTTCTATTATGCATTGTTTGTTTTTATTAAATATTTTAAATTTGCTTTTAATAAAGATGAAAATACTGAAGGAAGTAAAAATGGTAGGCCAACTATTGTTGCTAATGTGCCTGAATATAGTGCATTAATGGGGAAATCAATGGATTTTACTCAGGGTTAAAATTTTCTTTAAAAAATATTTTTTAAATCGAATTTTAATTTAAAAAAATAGGTGATCTAAATCGTGTAAACAGAGCCTATAAATGTTATCAATATCTCAAAACAAACAACGAGGCATTAAATCAACATCAAAACGTTGAAGACCAAGCGGCTATTTTTAGGCGTTTTTGGACTAAACAACAATATCTTAATCGGATAGCAAGCGTAAATATAAAAAATAAAAGTTGAAATTAAAAAAAGAAAATTTAAAAGTTATTTGATGTATAAATATAAACAAAAGTAATATGTATATTCTGTTAATGTTATAATATTTTTAAACTTTCGTTAGGTTAAATTTGCATGTAATAATCATAAGAAATCATATTAAAAGAATTTCTAGAAAAATTTATACAAACTTGTTATGTGTGTTACAAATGTGTTAAAGAATGTTATGTTATGTTAAAAAAATGTTACAATGTGTTACAAATCATAAAAAAAAGTAAAAATCACAGGACGAATGAATTTTGAAAATGAAAAAAAAATCTGAGGTCGAGAATTACCACGTTCACCTTTGTATAGTAGTATTATTACCTACTACTTATGTATGTATATATTAAAGTAGGCAGATCCTGGAAAATCAGTGGATAATAATTATTTCGTTGGGTTAAATTTGCATGTCATAATCATAAGAAATTAATGTGAAAATAAAAACAAGGTGAATAATTTCATTCCAAAATGATAATCTTTTAAATTGTGTGTGTGTGTGTGTGGGGGGGGGGGATAAAAATTACACAGATGCGGGTAAAAGGATTTAAAAAGGAGGAAAAAATGTAATGTTCATGAATAGGGACAGCCAAAATATGCACGGAAAATCGCCAAATATGCGCATATATATGCACCGAAAAAGCCCAAAATATGCACTAAAATATGCAAAATTTGCTAAAATATGCACTGAAATATGCAACAAAAAATAGTTAAAATATGCTATAAAAATCAATATTTTAATTTAAAAACAATAATTTAGCCTGAATTTTACATTTTAATAGCACTCCTAAAAGATTTAATGGATTTAAAACTGTTGCAAGAATTTTTTGTGAAAAAATTTTTCCCAAAAAAATTTTCGCAAATATTTTTTCAAGAAATTTTTATAAAAAATATAAAAAATTTTATAAAAAAATTTTTGACCAAAAAATTTTAAAATTTTGGTCAATTTATAGCATAATTTTACAAAAAATGCCGAAATATGGACCAAAATATGCAAAATTAGCCAAAATATGGACAAATATGCAAATATGCACGAGAGGGCCGAAATATGCAAATATATGCATTAAGAACCGGGTCCTAAAGTGCTCGGACACATGTAAAAACACCATTTTTGGGCTTCCCACATCAAGGCATATCCGCATACAAAACATGCATTTGCATGTTTTGGCTGTCCCTATTCATGAATTGAATTGCTTAGTTGTTTTTATGGGCCTCGACATGGCCACCAGAATTTTTGCTTTCCTGCGGAGCATTCAAATTATGTACATGTTTAATGTGATGCAAAAAACAAAAAGATGGGCACGAATACAAAGTTGGTCATAAGTGTCTTTTTTGTCATAACATTTCTTATCAATTTCTTTTGCCAAATCCGTCATTTTATGATTCCAAGCTTTGCCTTCCTTGTGCTTATTTTCTTCCTTAAAAATAGTAATTAATTAATTTAATTTACAAATTAATTAAGTTCTTTAAAGATTTAAAGAAGAAACAGACTTTTTGAATTTTCCATTCATCATTTTTGAAAAGTTCAACAGTTGATTTAATTTCAAATGATTTACTATTCTTTACATATGAAAATCCATAGTTTTTATTGGAAAATTTTTCCAGATTAAATGGCTTTGTTTCTTGCTAGAAATTAAAAAATATATAAAATATTACATAGATATATATTAAAAGCTGCTAGAATTCGATTTTACTACCGAAAATATAGCCTTAAATGACAAAAAGGATGCTAAGTCAAATATGTATATTTAAATTATTTGGGATTGAAATTTGATTGGTGAAGAATTGAAAATCAACTTAGCCTGTGGTTATATACACTAATTGGGCATTTTTTTCAAAAGTTAGATATTTAATCAAATATTCCCTTAATTTTACTTCTTTACTACCTGTGTATTCAATTCATTATCCTCAGTAGTTTCTTCGTTTTGTGAATTCTGACCCGAATAATTTGAATTGTAATGATCAATATTGTAAATATCTTGTATCATTTGTAATGCTTCTTCACTTGTAAGAATATAACTTTTTTTAATTTCATTATCTAAAAAATAAATAGATATATGTTTATGAAAATGAGAAAAATTACCGTTAATTTTACGATTGACGTTTTCTTTAAAAGAATTATGGGCTAATATTTCCTCTTTTTTAATTCCTTTGTGTTTTTCGTCTTTTTCATGTTTTTTAAAGGGAAGAAATTTTCTAAAATTAAAAAAATTTTGAATTTTAAAATTAGTTTTTACCTAGCATTATTAACTCTTTTTTTTAATGAAAATTTAAAGCTTGAGGAAGTTTTCGATTTAACTTGTTCATCTTCTTTCTCCAACGATGAGGAATAACTAACCTCACTGTTTTTATCATCATCCTCACTTAAAAAATTATTCTCTTCCCACAAACCCTTTTCGCTTTTCATTTCACCGTCGTCTAATTCTGATAAACTTTTATTTGTGCTGAAAATTTATAAAATAATTATTATATTATTCCTTTATAGTTTTTAAAATTATATTTATTTTTTACATTTGATTTAATCGCTCAAATTTTTTTGGTTTAACAATAACTTCAGAAGTTTTAATTGTGGTTGAGGAAGAAGGTTCAGAAATTTGCGCATCACCACTATTGTGTGGAGGACTTGAAGGTGATTCAACAGGTCGAAACAATGCAAACAAAAAAATGGTTATATAAAAACAAAATTTATATATCTCCATTTCTAAATTTAAAAAAAGAATTATTATTTTTTAAAAATTTTCTCTTTAATTTCCAAAAGTTTAATTTCAGTAATAAATAAATTATTTATGTATAACTCTGTTAAGTTAATAGGAACAAACGGTATTTGTCTTTTGTAACAAATAAAAATAAAAATTGTCTAACTCGTTAATAACTACCGTAAATGCTCTAATATGTAGAACCACACTCCCTATATGAAGCACACTCCCTAATATAAGCACACTCTACGAGGGGATCGAAAAATAGAAGCACATGTGCTTCAATTAGAGCATTTACGGTATTTACATTTAACTATTTACAAAAATTTAACCACTTTTATTAAACAATGCTATAACCTAATTTTGTTTTTTTCTAAAATATTTATTTCAGGATTGAAAGAATAAGTATTTATTTATCTAAATAGTCTTGATAAAATTTTATTTATTTTCTCGAGTTTTTATTCAAAAATTAAATTTTAATTTTAAATTAAAAATTGATAATTTAAAAAGATTTTTTTAAAATGAATGGCTATACATTAGAGGAGGATAGAGAAAGGGTGGGGGAATTAATAGATTTGTGGGTGGGATTTAAAAGGATGTCTTGAGGGGAGAATTGTAGAGAATTGCGGACAAACATAAATTGCGGAGAACAATTAATGTTTGGATAAAATTAGAATAAAGGAGTTTTTAATATAAATTAGTTAGTCAAAGCTTTTTATTTTTGTTTAATTAATAATTTTATATATGTTGACATTGAATTTTTGAATAGTTTCTAATAATTATAAATTATTTTTTATTATATTTTTATAATTTAAAGAAATACATAATTTAAAAAAAGATGTATAAGAAACTCCAAACTTAAAGCAATTTTATTTTTTAAAATTTATTTTTTTTAAATATTATTTTGAAATATATTTTTTGTTTGTTGCGCAAAAGGATGCCCTTTAAATAAAAATCTCTTCACGTGAATTTCTCAAAAAAATTAATCGAGAAAAATTGTTTTTTATTAGGTCTCGATTTAAATAAAAAATTTTAATTAAAAATAATTTTTTTAATTTTCAGAATTCAAAACCAAATTTAAACAATAATTTACTATTAATTTTAAAATTTCTTTTGGATGTCTAGATTATTTGTTAAATTTTACAACGATGGATTCTGAAACATTTAAAATAATTTTTGTTTGGCAACATGAAAAATCAGATTAATTTTTAGGTATTCAAAGGAATAAAATAAACTTTTGTTTTAATAAATTATTTTATAGCTAAATTAATTTCAAGAATTAATTTAAATAATATTTTTATAATATTTTATATATTTTTTATTAATTTCTCGAATTTCTCGACTACTCGAGAATTAAAAAAGCACTTTAGTTAAAAGGGAAGCGGCTAATAAAATGATTTTCGAAATAATCGGAAAGTCAGACAAACATCCGGCCCTAGACAAAAATTTTGGCTATAAAATCGGCATCCAATCAAGGCATTTCCATCATATTCACAAACAACTAAAAGAGAGAAAATGTATTTCAAAGCTTTTCTCCTCCTTTTAATTTCTCTTTTTGCCGCTTTTGTGGTCAACAATGCTCGAACCATTTCTAATATGGATGAAGTTGATGATGTGTCAGCAACAATGCCTGGAAAGAAAAATAATGTGGGAGGAAAGTCCAATCAAGTACTCCCTCAAGGTGAGGAAGGAATGGATGATTTAACTGAAGATTACGATGATTCAGATGAAGATGATGAGGACTATGATGATATGGATGACGATTATGATGTGTACAATAATGATGATTATCTTAAATCTCAAATGGATGACATTGATTCGCTTGAAGCATACGAAGAATTGCCGCGTATGGACAACTATGGAAAAATGGCTGAAGAAGAAGAAGTGATGCCGGAAATGAATATGAATAATGGAAAAGAACCTAAACAAGATTCATCAATTAACACTCAAACAATTAATGGCGCCGATCACGTTGTTTCTCCAATGTCAGATGCCCCTTCACAAAAAATGGAACAAGCACCACAAGCCGTAAAAACAGGTGCTAATCAAAAAGAGGTTAAAACAAAGGAGGTCAAACAAAAGGAAATTAAGCCAAAGGATGCTAAAACAAAAGATGCTAAACAAAAGGATGCTAAACCAAAGGTTGCTGACAAACATAAAGCACCTGCTCCTGCAAAGCCAAAAAAGGGAACGAAAGATGCAAAAACTGCTAAAAGTCCCATCGCTAAACCAAAGGTTAAAGCAACTAAGCCTGCGCCAAAAAAGAAGGCTGCCTCAAAGAAAGCATCAGCACCAAAGAAAGCAAATGCCAAAGCAACGCCTAAGAAAAATGCCGCGGGTGGAGGAAAGGATAAAGCTGCTAAAAAAGCAAAGTCAAAGAAAAATTAATTAAAAGAAAAGAAAATTGGGAAAATAATGAAGAGAAAGAAAATTTTGTAGAAGAATAAATAAATTTGTAATTTGAAAAAAAGCGTTAAATTTTCTAAAATTTAAGAGTTAAAATATATTTTTAAAGTTGTGTTTCATTTAAATTGATAAAAGATTTAGTTATCGAATTTTTTGTAATTTTATTTAAATTAAAAAATATTAACAAGTTTAAAATTAAATTATTTTAAATTTGAAATTAAATTTCATCCTCCATGTATTCTAATGTCCTTTGGAGTTGAATAAATATTATTATAAAAAAAACTAAAAATTCGAATCATAAGAGAATTTATATTAAGAAATACATATTTATGTAGAGGGCCGCATTAAAATTTTATTCTTTATTTTACAGAAAACTTATTAACTTTTTTGAGGATATTAAACATAAAAATTTACACTGTGTTCATTTAATTGCAAGTTACAAAATCTTTTAAATTAGACTCCATATATCCAATCATTAAAATAACTTTTTCACCAATTTCAGTAGCAACAATTATTACACTATTATATAATTTTATATATTAAAGTTTCGATAATTTTATACTCAAAAAATTTATATATTTCTGGTTCCAATCAAATTTTAACTTATCTCTTCAGTTTATTAAATATTTTTGTGTATCTAATTATGGCTGTATAAATTACCTATATTTAATTTTAAATTAAAAACACAATTTAAGCTTTGAGTTTTTTCAGAATGGAAATTTGTTTTTAAAAAATTGAATATATTTATTTAAATTCCTAATTAACAATTATTTAAAAGTTTTATTAAAAAATATTTTATTTATTTATTTCTACATAATTATTTAATTTAAAATTTTATATTTTTAAAATCTATCGATTCTTGTTAAATCACATGAAATAGACTTATGATGAAGGCATGATGTTGCGCGTGTTGGGGATGTGTTGGCAAAAGGGCATCCATCCACCTCTTCATTTCTTTCGATTTATTGATTTAAAATAAATTTTTTTTTATTTTTTAAAATTAAAATTAAAAAATTATATTTAAAATAAAATTAAAATATTTAAAGTTATTTTGTAATTTCAAGAGCCAATTTTTATATAAAAAGTTTTAAAAACAGTAAAATCTACATTCTTGATCGTAATCAAGGGATAAAAATTTTGAGAGAATTGTATAAAATTAAAAAAGTTTCTAATTTAATTAAAAAATATTTTTTAAAAGAAAATGTAAAAACTCAAAAAGTTTATTTAATTAAAAGAAATGTCAAAATTATTATTTATTTTATTATTTAATTTATTTTTTATTTCAACAATTATTTTGGCACGAGAATTAGGAATAAAAGTTGATGAAATTCCAAAAATTCTTATAAATCCAAACAAATATACTACTCTACTAGAAAAACATCAAAATACCAAAAAAGAAAAAATATTGAATGAAAATCAAAAAGAAGAAAATTTTTTTGAAATACCAAACAACAACACCGACAACAACAATATTAACGAGAAACAAATTTCAATTAAAAAAAATTCTGTTAAAAAACAGAATAATATGACTACTAATTTATTACATAAAGTTATGAATGGAAGAATTGCTAAAAAATTAACAAAAAATTCAAAAAAAGAAAATAAAAAGAAAGGATTTTCTTTAAAAAACAAAATAAATTCTTTTGCTTTTAACAATTTAATTAAAAAATATCAGCAAAACAAAAATATAAAAAATAAGGAAAAAATTAAAGGAAAATTTTTAAGAGATACAAAAAATAATTTTAAAAAATTTAAAAATTCTTTTTCAAAAAATAATGGAAAGGATATTATCAAGCTGGAAAAGAAAAATTCTTTAAAGGAAGGAAAAAAGAAAATATTAAAATTTTCTGAATCGTTTAAAATTGAGAATATTGTAGATAAAGGTTATTTAAATATTTTTTAATTAAAAAAAGATCTAATTAATTAATTACTAAAAATCTTCAAAACCAAAAAATATAAAACAAAATATATTTAACATATTTTTAAATAAAAAGCGCTTTACTCTAAATTAGCATTAAAATAAAATGTGGAAACTTTTACTTATAAATATTAATGAAAAAAAACTTTTAATTAAAGATGACAATATAACAACAAAAGTTCAAATCTTTGCTGAAGAAGCAAGACTTATTTTGTTGGATATTTATGCTATTCATCATTATACAAATTATTTTCTTGTTTGGAATCAGAATAAATATATGAAACAAAAAGAGGGGGAAAGTAAGGAAAATAATGAAGATAATGATGATGAGGATATGGAGGAGCAAAAAGAAGAAGAAAAAAAACAAAAAGATGAAGAAATTAAAATTGAGAAACAAAAAAATGAGAAGAAAGCACTCAAACAATATTATGAAAATTTAATAGATAAATTGTTGTTTAAAGCATTTACTGATAAAAGCCCTGGAGCTATAGATGAATTTAAAAGAAGAATTTACGAAGTTTCTAATTCTAGTTCAAACGCTGATTCGCTCCCGCCGCCGAATACTTATAGACTAGTTCAGCTTTATTATAATAATAATTTTTAGTTAGTAAATGACTAAAAAATTTTATTTAGGGTAAATACAAAAATTAATAAATAAATTAATTTATAGAACAAAAACGGTTCTTCGGATTCAAGTTCTTTATTAACAACAAATATGCCCTTTTATGTTGATGTATTTTTGGGAAAAGAATTAGAATCGAGAGATACTTTGATAAAAAACATTTTAAATAAAAGTTTCATTTCAAAATTAAGTAAAAAGTTTAGTTGGAAAGGAAAAATTGGAAATGAGAAAATTTTACAAATTGAAAAAATTGGGAGTTTTTACTCGATAAAACATGAAATAGTTGATGAAAAAATAAATATAAAATCAGTTGAAGAATTATTTAAATATAACGATTGGCTATTATCTGGAGTTTGTTTTTAGTTATTTTTATTATTAGAAGAGATTCTTTAAATTTATTTTAGAGTTTTGGTTTTTTGGCTTAAAATATTTAAACTAGAAAATTATTCTTGTATATATTTTTGTTTGTTATTTAAATTGAAATCACAAATTAATAGGGAACATGGCCATCCAAAATGACAAATTTGGCAATATCAATTGACAAAAAATGTGAAAATATTGGAGAAATTAAAGGAAGTGGAGAAAATGCTTTGTGTGTTATTGTTAGACTTTTTGCCTTTTGTTTGGCTATTGATAACCAATTTAGAAGTAATGAAGGGAAATTATTGAAATATTTTAGAAATATGGATGTTTTGTATGTTGAATGGATTAGAGAATCGACAAATTCAATTTTAAATTATTTTAATTTAAAAGAAACTGAAAAAGTAATTGAAACTTTAATTGAAGAATATAATCAATTTTTTGAAATTGTTGAAAAGAATCCCTATATAAATGTTTGTTTTTTAATTAATTTAAAAGAAAATATATTAGATATGTTTTTATATTCCCTTTTTTTTATTAAAGTAAAAATTTATTTAAGCCAACTCCTGGTCTTTTAAACAAAGAAAATCAAAAGAAAATACAAAACAAAGAGGAAGAGATTGAAAATTTTGAAAAGAATAATTTAAATAAATATGTTTGTTTTTTTTTAAATTTAATTTAATATAAAAAAATTTCTAAAAAATAATTTTTTAATTTTAAGTCAAATGCCAAATCAGAAAACGAGGCTAACGAAAAAGAAGAAAACACCAAAACAAAAGAAGGTAATGAAGTTAACATTTTTAATGAGAATGGAGAGATTAATTGGGGAAATGAAGATTTTTTGATGAATTTAGATTATTAACATAAAAATATTTTTTTAAATTTTTTATCCTTCCCCCATCACGCTTTAACGATCGTATTGGACTAAAATTGTTTTTAAATTTTTTTTCAAATTTTTTTTTCAAATTTTTTTTTTAAATTTTCTGCCCTGCTTTATAATGTTCAACTCGTATTTTATAATTCTAAATATATGTATTTATTTACTCTGCCCTATTTATGTAAATATTAAAAATTATTTTATAAATATTTTTAAATGTTTAATTTAAACAATTAGTTTTTTTAATTAAAAAATAATTTCAATTAAAAAAATCCTTTCTCGTTTTAATTTCTTCAATTATTTGCCTTTTTAATTACAACTGTGTGAACACATAGTTCCAATACAAGAAGCACTACATTGTGTAGATCCTCCCCAACCTTTTCCATCATTATATCCACTATAAACAAATTGTTGTCCAAAAAATGGAAATTTTTGCCAAAATCCTTCCCCTCCTTTAGGCAAAGTTCCGAATTGGCTATTTCCTCCATGATGACTAAATTTATTTGCTCGATAGCCTCCATTACTTATTTGAAAGCAATTTGGCCCTTCAGAGTAACTAGGTACTCCATTTGTCTATTTAAAAGAGAATTTTTTTAAATTATAAATTAATTTTAATTCTAACCACTTGAAAGCAATATCCATCTGACAAATTTCCGTTGCTAATGATTATTAATAAATGTATTAAATTAATTATTACGTTGATGTAATTCATTATTAATTTTATTTAAAAATTAAAATATTAAATTATTTTAAATAGATATAAAAATTCTTAATTTAAATAAAATACGAAATACTATTAAATTTAAATATTTTTTTAAAAATTTTTTATTTTTTTTTTTCAAAAATAGTCAATTTTTTAAAGATATTTTAATGGAATTAAAATGAATTATCTAATAGAATACACCAAAATTACTTTTTTTACGTTTCACAACATGTAAAAGTTCAGAAAATTTTTTGAAAAATATAAATGGAATTTCCTTAAGATTAAGGTTTTATTTTGTGTAACAAAAACGAATTGGCCGAAATAAAATATTTCAATAAATCGAAACTTTTTGAGGTTAACATTTTATTTATTAAAATTTTTGTACTATAACAACTATTTTTTGTTTATAATTTTTAAATATTTATTTTTATTTTATTAAATAAATTTATTTTATTCTTTAAAATTTTTATAAAATAAAGAATGATGATTATTTATTTATTTTATTTTATTTTAAGGAAAAAATCAGAAATTAATGCGCAACTTAAAATTTAACGCTTGTTTGAATTTCTTTCTCAAATAATTTCAAAATCCAATTGTTCACTTTTTTTTTCTTTTAATTTCCTCAAATATGAACAAAAATAAAAGAATATATTTTTAAATTTTAATTGAATTTTTTGTAAAAATTAAATGTTTTTGAAGTTTTTTATTGGAAATAAAATTTTTATTTTTAAATTTTTTGTAAATAAAATAATTAAAATTTCAAAATGGTGAACAATAATTTAATTAAAATTTTTTAAATAAATATTTTAAATAAATATAAAAAATAATTAATTTTTAATTTAAATTTTGTAAAAACAAAAATATAAATATTTACATACATAATTCCTTTCTAGACAAACATGTCAACATTTTTTTCAAAAATTTTAATTTTATTATCCCTCCTCCTCCCTGTTAACCTTTCACAAACACCTACATATATTCACCATTGTTGACTTTCATAATTAAAAAAATATTCTCTAATAATTAACTTCCAACAAAAAATTAGACATTTTTTGGCAAAATTATTAATTGAATTTAAAAGTTTTTTTCTTTTGTAAGAAACAAATACCTTTTAATTTTTTCATTCAATAAATTAAATTATTTTTATTTTAAATATTTTTTAAAATACAAATAATATATAATTTAATTTATTTTTATTAAAATTTCCCTAAGGACTTTGTAATATATTTATTATTATTATTTTCATTCCAAACAATTATCTAAAAAAATATTTATCTTAAATTAACAAAATAAAAAAAAAATTATACATATAAAAAAATTCGCCCGTTCCTTTGAGAACATTAAATTAATTTTTTTAATTAATTTTTTATTGCTACATACTATTGATGGATAGATAGACGGGAAATGAGTTAAAAGTAAAATGAAATTCTTTTTATTTTTAATGTCTATAAAAAACTTTTATTTATTTTTTAATTAAATATAAATTCAATATTTATATAAAACTATATTTAATTTAGAAGTTTTGAGATGTGGGAATTTTTTAAACATTTTTTAAAATAAAAACTTATTTTTATTTTTATTTATGATGTATGTTTAAATATTTTTAAAGTTTTTATTGAATATTTCTAAGTATTTAAAAAATAAATAAATCAAAATCTCTTACAAAAATTAATTTATCTACATATTTGTAACAAATATTAAATCATTTCCACATATTTTTAAATTTAAATGGTTCATAAAAGACATTCTATATTGTAAAATATTTTTTCAAAAATAATTCTGTTTTACACGGTCTAGATGTTTAAACAGAAATTAATTTATAAAAAGAACATTTTACTTTTTAAGGAGTGTTCACATAATAAATATATTTTATTTAATTATTATTTCTTTCTTTATCCTCTATTTCCGTTTCTAATTTACCCACACATTTCCAATTTTTCGTTTATTTCTTATTTAATTTTTCTATTAATTTTTATACATATGTAATATTCTTTTATATTTTTAACCACAAATACAAAAAAATTAAAAAATATACTAATTTAATTATAGTATTTATTTCATCTTTTTTTTCTTTTTTTGTGACAATTTATTTTTTTATTCTGAAAATAGCAAAGAATTATTTTAATTTTTAAGGAAATTAAAAGTAATTATAAATAATTAGTATTAGAATTAATTTAAAAATATTCTTATGTCAATAATTGTGTGTTAATAAATGAATTGTTATATTTAAATAAACTTTTCTTTGAATTTTTTTTAAAAAGAAGCATTTAAATTTATTTTATGTTGCAAATATTTTTGATTAATTTTTTGGAAATATATTTTTTAAAAATTCAAAAAAAAAAAAGAAGGAAGTTTTTTTTTAAAAATATTAAAAATTATTTAACAAAAAAAAATAAAAGTACAAACAAATTCTTGTGTTTATTTGAATATACTAGGTATATTTTACAAATAAACAAATTAATTTTAATGAGTTGTTATTTCCTTTTTTATTTCAAAAAAAAAAATAACAAAAAATATATATTTAAATAAATATATTATTTACATATTTATATACCCCCCCCCCTCCTCCTCCTCTCATTTTTTACCAAAAACGGAAATGGAGAATTTTTGCTATGTCAATCATAAAACTTTTTTTGTTAAATGTTTTCCTAAATTGTTTATTCAAGCATTGACAAGTTTATTTTAATAGCTTTTTAAAGCAGCAATCTTTTGACATTTTTTTAAGTTATTCCAGTTAATTTTAAATTTTTATTAATTGAATATTTTAAATGAAAGAGGAAATTTATTTAGAAAATAATTAATTTAAATTTAAAGTTTCCCTCCTCGTCCTCATCTCTTTTTTTAATCCTTCAATTAAAAACTTTAATAAGCATAATTTTTTTTTAATTTTAAATAATTAAAAATTATTTTTTTTTCAATTATCATTTACTGAACGTTTTGCAAAAACAAAAAATAATAATAAATAGAGTTGTACCCCGACCCCGTACCCCGAACCCCGACCCCGTTCCCGAACGATATTTTCACGATTCTCCCCGACCCGAACCCCGCCCCGAAAAAAAGTGAAAACCCCGTTCCCCGGCCCAAAAAGTTTCGGGGTTATCGGGGTTTTATACCCCTAAAATATGTCATTTTTTGGAGAAATTAATGAAGAAAATTTAAAAAATTTTCACCCATTTTACTTTGCTTTTATTATTTTTGAAAGAAAAATGAATGAAATACATATCATAATTTTCTTTCCTCCTACATTAACATACTTGTGGTTGAGTGGCTTAGTAGTTGGTTTTAGCTGATGTTTCATGAATATAGGATTTGGTTCTAATCCATATAAGGAGAACTCGGTTTTTTTATATTTCTTTACAAAAACAAATTATGGACGAGTTAAATTTTAATTTGAAAATATTAATTTTATTTTTAACTGATATCCCTTGAACCACCCTTAATCTTTCAAACCCCTGTATCACCAGTTCTCAACCATAACAGTTGGAAAACTATCGAGTCCTGTTAACGGGAATCAGAGATATAAAGGGATTGTAGGATATCGAAGAATTAAGGAGTTATAAAGGGATTTAAAGGGATATAAGGTTTAGATTAAAATGGATTTGAAAGGATTTCGTGAATTTAAAGGAATTAACAAGGATTTTGTTGGAGATTTAAGGATTAATCCAAGATATCTCATGATATCCGTCCAAATACCCTTATCCGCAATACATCAATATTCTTATAAATGACTAATATCCCTTGAACCAACAAAAATCACTCCAGATCACTTTGTATCCCTAGATATACAATTTAATCCCTAAAAATCCCACTTAATCCCTCCAGATCCTTTTATATCGCAAATTTTACACTTTAATCCTTTCAAATCCCCTCTAATTTCTTAAAATTCTACTTAATTTTTGAATAAATCGACGAAAATATATCATTTTTAATTATTTTTGAGCATTTTTTTCTCTAAAAAATTTTCCACTGAACCCCCGTACCCCGACCCGAACCCCGGCCATATTTTGCTCCCCCGACCCGAACCCCGCCCCGAAACATTTGGAAAACCCCGTACCCCGACATAACCGCCCCCGAGCGTTCGGGGTACAACCCTAATAATAAATAGAATTAATAATTATATTTTTTTAATATTTTCTTTTTTATTCTGCTTATTCATATTTTGTTCCCGCCTTCTTTCAATTCTTTTGTATTTATAAAAATATATTTTTCCAGTGAATTTTATTAATTCTTTTATTAACAATTTATTTTTTTTATTTAAAAAAGAGGAGGATATATTCATTAATTCATTTATGGATATTTGTAAATTTAAATAAAAATATTTTAAAGAATATTTTTTAATTTAAAAAAGTTTAAAAAATTACTAAAGAACTATTTTTAAGAATTAAAAAATATAATGGAAGAATTCCCTATAATTGCCCACCGTCCATCCTCATTCCTTAGATTTTCGGCATCTTTCTTTAAATTTCCAGTTTTCTTTCGACGTTCAAGGGGTAGTTCAACAAGAAGCAGCCCTATATCTAGGTATTTTATTTATTTTTTCAAAAAAAAAACTAATTTATTTTTTTAGATTAATAAGTCCAAGAGAAACTCCCTCAACTAGCTCTATATCTCCAATGGTTGAATCAGTAACAAGTTTGCCAACTGTATTAAATGGTAGTTTGTTAACAGCTTCAGATAGTACTCGACATAAACCTTTGCTTAGACCCGAAGAAATTAAATTGGTTGCACAGACATTGAAAAAGTTGGGAAAAGAAAATTATTTTATAAAATTAATTTTTTTAAATATTTTGTAGAGCTCTTCAAACAGTTGATTTTGGAAATGAAATTGTTATTCGACTTTTAAATGATAAAAGGTTAATAATTTTTACTAAAAAATAATTTTTATTTTCAATTATTTAAAGATCTCTCTACAAAAGTTTATTGGCTAGATGTGCACCACAAGCACACGAAATTGAAGTTTTTGATGTTCAAAGTTTGGCACGTTTTTGTCCGAGAGCTGTGCAAGTTGGGAATGGAGTTACTCGATTTTTTGAACGTGTAAATAAATAAAAATAAATATTTTTTTTTTGAAAAGAATATTTATTTAATAGATAGTAATTGCTTTAGAAGATGAATATCAAAATATAATAGAATTAGAAGAAAAATTAGCAGAAATGTGTAGAGCTAATGGACAAATGCATTATAGAATGAAAGTTTGGTTTCAGGCAGAAAATTGGTTATGTGTTAAACATTCTGTTGTTGATACTGTTTTAATGGCTAATTCTAATTTAAAAAGGGGGAAACAAAGTAATTAATTAATTAAATTTCCATTTTTTTCTAAATTAAGTATTTCCAGTTTTTGCTAGAAGTGCTGGAGATCTTTATGGACTTACAAAACAAAAAAATTGGTTAAATTGTGTAGAGACTTTGGAACATTGTAAAAATGAAAAACATTCAATAGGGGTAGTTTGGATGAAATTAATGCAAGCAGTTATTGCTTGGATGAAACAAGGGTTTCTTGAGGTAATTAAATAAATAAATATTATTGAATGATAATATTTTTGTATTCTTCTCAGAAAACCAATCAAATGAGGAAAAAATCCTTGATTTTAAAAATTGAAAATTTACATTTTTTTATTTAAAGGCAGCAATGTCTAGCAAAGAAGAACATGATGAAGAACTTTAAAAACAAAAATCTCATATTTAATTTAAAAGAATTTTCTAAAAAGAAGGAAAAAAACATCATTTTATAAATGATTAATAAATAAATATTTTTGTAAATTAAAATTTAATTTCCCATAAAAAAGCTTTTTAGTTAAAAATAAATAAAGTATTTTTTGAAAAATTGTTTTTTTTTGTTAAAAAATGCAGGGATCTTTTATTTTATTTTACATAACTTAAATTCGTTTTATTTTTGGTTGGGGAATTTAGCTGCTATTGTTAAATAAAATTGGGGTTTAGTAGTTTAAAATAATATTGGAGAAAATCTTGGAAATTTTTTTGGAATTTTGGCAGTTTCGGATAATGCCTGGATATTAAGGTATAACAGACAACAAAGTTTTATTTTGTTGTATCAAGAAGGAATATATTAATGAGGATGTTCTAATTATATTTAGTAATTAAAGGAATAAAGGTTTTGGGATTTTTACAAACTTTTTTTGCAGAAACCATAAATAGTTGTATTTTTAAAGAATTTCTCTGCTTTTTATTTTGATTTTTTTAAAGTTGAGCTTTTGGTTAAAAAAGTGAAAATATCTTGAGAACAGCCAACAAAACAGCCATTCTCTTTTACATAAAACAGCAAAAGCGAGGACATTTGTGATGAAAAGTGAAACTAATTTGGCAGATGTGCCAATACAAGATGGTAATGATGTAAAAGAAAGACGTGAAAAATAAATATAACAAAAATTCCAAAATTATATATGTATATGTATATATTTACTAACATTTATTGACATTATTGAAAATAATACCTAAAATTAATTTCTTTCCTTCCCTATTTTAGCCATTGAACTAAAACCGACTTCATAGAAAAAAAAAACCGACTTCACTAACTCCCTTGGTCAAGTCCTTTTCCAATAAAACATTTTTTCTGTCATTCAAACTTAGCAATAAATGCCTGCAGGTCGTTCATGTTAAATTATTTTTAAAAATAATTATGTATTAATATTAATTTATTATAAATCCAAAATTATTTAATTTCTTAAAGAAACTCAATTTCAACGTTACTACTGATACATAGTTGTGGAATTGTGCATATTTTTAATCAAATTTTTATTTTTATACTCATAAAAAGTCCAAAAACATTTTTTAAAAAATACTTATATATTTACTTGAAAATTACCAATAAATTGCACCTATTTTCATCATCATTTGCTTCCTGCATTTTCATGCCAGTTTCCTCTCTCCAAAAAATTGAAGGGTTTGGTGGAAACTATTTTTGTGGCAAAATTGCCACCATTCCCCCATTTCTCAACCAAGTATTTATTTATTATACATATTTTTCTCTTTTATTTATTTTGTTTAAGAGAAAAATACTAGAGGCAATGCTTATATATTAGCTTTTGCCGCTTCTCGTCCTTTTTTATTTTTCTCCTTTCACTCGTTATTCCATCACAAACAAAGTCAGAAACCTTAACGTCGTTATATTTAATTATTTAGCTGCCCCTCTATTGCGCGAATTGCAATATTTTTTCTTAAAGAAATTATAATATTATTTAATATTATCTAAATATAAAATAATAATATTTTTTAATTAAATTACATATTTTATGGGAAATTATTATTATTTTTAATTAAATAATTTACAATAAATAAAGTGCATATGGGAGAAAGAATTTTTTTATCAAACAATGAAATAGTTTAAAGGAAGACTTTACTTTTAAGCTCTAGTTTATTAAGCCTTGAATTATTTATTAGGTACAAATATTTAGAAAAATTAAAATTTTTTATCGAAAAAAATTTAAATATCTATGATTTTGAATATTTTTTACCCATTTGTTAATCAAACATATTTATATATTAGGAAATTTTAACTCCTACCTATGCTTAATTATAACTTTGATAAAGTTTAAATTGATTAGAAAACTCCGGAAACGGCCTGTTCGATAAAATTGAGTCGATCAGATCGAGAAAAGCATTTAAATAATTAAATAAAATTAACTGTACATACCTAAATTTTACAGAAATGACAATTTTACATTCTTTACTTAGTAATCCTTCAAGAAAGAAAAATAAAAATCCATCATCGCAAACAGAAGCTACCCCATCAGCTTCCCATTGGGTTGAGGTTGAGGATACACGTTTAGGGACTACGTACAAACCGTCTCATGTAAACTTTCGAAATATTTTTTTAAAAATAAATTAAATTTAAAAAAAATAATTATTTAAAAGTTAATTTAAAAAGGGAAGCAATTATTAAAAATAATTTTAAATATTTCATGTATTTAATATTCTTCAAAATTAAATAAATAAATTTTGAAGAATATATAATTAATATTTGCAGGTTTATAGACATCAATCTATGCGATTCAAAGGCAATGATCGAAATGATTTTTTCGCTAACGGTATTTATATAACCTAATAATATTTATTGTTTAATTAATTTTTCGTTGTTTTTTGCCTTTTTTGGTTTAATTAAAAATATTTCCATTTAAATAAGAGGGCAAAAAAAAGTATTTAATTAAATTATAAATGTGCATAAGAGAGGAGAAATTCTATATTTTCCCTTTAAAATCTATTAAAACGTTGAAACAAAAAAGGAGTCAAGAAAAGTGTTTAATTTAAAATAAAATAAATAATCTGGCACAAATAAACAAAAAAGGATGGCTAAAAATATAATGGCTTTATATGTAAGCCTTATAAATAAATAAACAAGGAAATATTTCTTTTATTCTAAAAATCCTTTCTTGCTCTTTAGTAAATTAAAAACAATAAATTCATTAAATTAACATCCATCTATACTTCTCTTTCAAAAAAATTCTTTAAATTAAAAAAAAATATTTTTTATTCAATTTCCTTTATTTTTGCTATTTATTCAACAAAATAGAATTAAAATTATGGATATTAGGGACAGATATTTGATGCGCCATTCCCAGCGCCGTTTTTCCAATAAAATGGCAGAAGAACATTTAGAATTTTCACCTTTTGATCCTATTACGTATTTCTTAATTTAATTTGGAAATATTTTAAAGACAATTTTTTATATTAGAGAGGAAAAACAAAGCAAAACTTTGACTTAAATAAAAAGAGAAAATTAAAAATTTTCTCGGGAATTTCGTAGTAATTAAAACCTTTATTATGTCTCTAAACTTTAAGTATTTAATTGTAAAATAAACAAAAAAATTAAACATTTATTTTTTTAGAGCCAATGACTGGAAATTTAGGCATAAGTGGATATATATTGATGGTTTGTCTTTATTTATTTAAAATTATTTTTAATTTAATTAAAGGTTTGCTCATATATTCTTTTGGCTCTAACATTTCCAATAGCAATTTGTTTTTGTGTTAAAGTTGTAAAAGAATATGAAAGGGCTGTGATTTTCAGATTAGGGCGTTTATTGCCTGGTGGTGCTCGTGGACCTGGAATTTTTATTGTAAATTTTCTCTAATTTTTTTTAAATATTTGGAAAAGATTTTTGAAAGATTTTTCTATATTATATCCGAACATTCCTTTAATTAATTTTGTCTTTTCAATATCCATTTCTGATTTTAGGTAATTCCCTGCATCGATACGTACAGAAAAGTTGATCTTCGTGTTCTCTCATTTGATGTACCACCCCAAGAAGTAAATAAAAATATTATTTTAATTAATTAATTAATTAAATATGTAGATTTTATCAAGAGATGCAGTAACTGTGGCCGTGGTAAATTTACTAAATTATTTTGGAGATTTTAAAATTCAAATTTATTTTTAGGACGTAGTTGTTTATTTCCGAATATCAAATGCAACAATTTCTGTTACAAATGTAGAAGATTCTAGTCGGTCAACAAAATTATTAGCACAAACAACTTTAAGGAACATACTTGGCACAAAAACCCTTGCAGAAATGCTTAGGTAAATTAATAGAAATTTTTTAAAAATAATTTTACTTATTTTTAGTGATCGTGAACAAATTTCTCTTCAAATGCAAAGTACTTTAGATGAGGTAAATTAATAAAAAAATAATTTATTTTTAAATTTATAGATAACATCACCATGGGGAGTTAAAGTTGAAAGAGTTGAAATGAAAGATGTTAGATTACCGGTACAGTTACAAAGAGCTATGGCTGCAGAAGCAGAAGCAACTAGAGAAGCTGGGGCTAAAGTAATTAATTTAAATTAATTTTTTTAAACAAAATTCTATGATTTCTGTACACCCCCCCCCACCCCACCCTTTGGATGTTTTTATAAAAAATAATTTTTGTCTATATTTAAAGATAATTGCTGCTGAAGGAGAACAAAAAGCTTCAAAAGCGCTGAGTGAAGCGGTAAAAGAAAATTTAATTTTTTAACAAAATTAATTTAAATATTAATTAATTTAAAGGCTTTAATAGTTTCACAATCACCAGTAGCATTACAACTTCGATTTCTGCAAACACTTTCAACAATTAGGTAAATAATGAACTCTTGTTAGTAGCGACAAGAAAGAAATTTGTGATCTTTAAGTAAATCATAAATTTAAAAAAATTAACTGTATCAGAGTGGGGGCCTCCTAATCCAGTTAATTACTAATTTAGTCGCTACTAAATAATGAAAATATTTTTTAATTAAAAAAATTATTTTTTAATAGTGCGGAAAAAAACAGAACAATTATATTTCCATTGCCTATGGAAATTGTTCGGCATTTTATTAAGTTTGTTACTTTAAATTATTTTACATACACATGAATTTTAAATAATATTTAGACGCAACCGATATTATCGTCAAAACAAATAGAGAAAATTTAAAACTTTTATTAAAGTTCTTTAAAATTGTGATTTAAAAATTCCCGGAAATTATTTTAATTGTTTCTTTAATAATTTGTATATAATTTTAACTTTTTAAGAATTAAATTTGTCGATTAAATTTATTGATTATTCGATAAAAATTAAAAGGCTAAAATTGCATTGTAAAAGATTTAATAAAATTTTTTTATTATACATATATAATTCGGAGAGAATTATCATATTAAAAATATTTAATTTTCAATTTTGTGAAAAATTATTAAGGTAAAATTATTATTTTGAGGTTTTCATTGTGTAGAAATAACATTCTTAAGAATGTTGCAAATTAATTTTTAAAAGATAGAAAGGGGTGGATAAGGAATGAAATTGAAAAACGGAAGGGAAGACTAAAAAAAGACGGAATTTTGCTGTTTTGTCGCCTTCGCAATTGTCGCGTCCGCAAGTGCGTATCCGCAATAGTCGGAATATCACCGAAACTTGAGCAGAACAAAATTAGTCTTGCGCTTAAGTGGTTGCGGCCAAAATGAGCCGCGCCTAAGTATTCATTCCCCTCTAAATTTCTATTCTTTTGTTGATTGTTTTACGTAGAGGAAAATAATATTAATTTCTCTTTTAGTTTTTTATGTAAATTAAATACATAAAATATTATTTTATTTTAATTATCAACGGGTAAATAACTACACAAATACATATCTCAAATTTATTGGCTAAACAAATATTCTATGCTAGTTTTTATTTTATTTACATTTTTCTCCAAAATTTTTATTTTTGCTTCCACAAATCAAAATATAATTGAAGAACCTTTAAATTCTACAAATAAAAGCAGAGCTTTGTCCTTTCTTAAAGAAAAGATCTTAAATGTAAAATTAAAATAATTAATTTTTATTTTTTTTATTTTTCAGTCAGAAGATGATCAACAAACAGCTTTCCGTCAAAATACCCAAGAAGTTCACGATCCTAGAAAGCCAATTTTAATTAGTTATTTGGCGGCTGTTTCTCAATTTTCTCAACTTATTTTTGATAAACTCCAGGATGTAGCTAACAGTAGAAGTAATGAATTGGCCGATTTTAGTAGTTTAATGAATGGACATAGCTGCTTTAGTACTGAATTTGAAGGTTTTCTTTTAAATTTAAATTTACAGAATTTTTGTGTTTTTAAGGGTCAATGATTTCTGGAGCATTACAAGTTGCTATTGATTATGTAAATAATAATCCTGATATGTTACCTGGTTATAAATTAAAATATATTTTCAACAACACTTGCGGCGATGAAATGAGAAGTTTGTTTAAATTTAAAACTAGCTGCAGGATAAATAGCTGAATGGGTTTGATAGCTTTAAAATTAAGTTACGTCGGGGAAGCGTTTATTTATAATTGGAGGCGCGTCCATGGACGCGCGTTGAAAGCCTGCGGCTTTAAAACTGTGCTAGGTTTATTGTTTGCTTGGAGATTTACGTTAAATGTTTTAGTTTATTTAGAAATTTTTTGAAATAAGAAGGGCACCCTGCCTTTTAGATGGATCGGTCCCTTCTTTAGATGGGAGGTGCTTCGTTCCATTTTTTAAATGGGCATCGCGTCGGGCGTACAAGGCGCACTTCCGGCCTTCGGCCCTCGTCCCCCCTCCCCCCTTCCCCACCGTTGGGACTCATTTTTACAATTTGGCGCACTTCGGGCCTTCGGCCCTCGCCCCCCCCCCCCTTCCGCACCGTTGGGACTCATTTTTACAATTTGGCGCACTTCGGGCCTTCGGCCCTCGCCCCCCCTTCCCCACCGTTGGGACTCATTTTTACAATTTGGCGCACTTCGGGCCTTCGGCCCTCGTCCCCCCCCCCTTCCCCACCGTTGGGACTCATTTTTACAATTTGGCGCACTTCGGGCCTTCGGCCCTCGCCCCCCCTTCCCCACCGTTGGGACTCATTTTTACAATTTCGTCTCCCTCCCTCCCCACCGTTGGGACCCATTTTGGGCCACTTCGGTCTCTCCCCCCTCCCCATCGTTGAGACCCATTTTGGGTCACTTCGGTCTCTCACCCGCCACATCGTTGGGACCCATTTTGGGCCACTTCGGGCCTTCGGCCCTCGCCCCCCCCCCTTCCCCACCGTTGGGACTCATTTTTACAATTTGGCGCACTTCGGGCCTTCGGCCCTCGTCCCCCCCCCCTTCCCCACCGTTGGGACTCATTTTTACAATTTGGCGCACTTCGGGCCTTCGGCCCTCGTCCCCCCTTCCCCACCGTTGGAACCCATTTTTACAATTTGGCGCACTTCGGGCCTTCGGCCCTCGTCCCCCCCCCCCCCCTTCCCCACCGTTAGGACTCATTTTTACAATTTGGCGCACTTCGTGACTTCGGCCCTCGTCCCCCCCCCCATCCCCACCGTTAGGACACATTTTTACAATTTGGCACACTTTGGGCCTTCGGCCCTCGTCCCCCCTTCCCCACCGTTGGGACCCATTTTTACAATTTCGTCTCCCTCCCTCCCCACCGTTGGGACCCATTTTGGGCCACTTCGGTCTCTCCCCCCTCCCCATCGTTGAGACCCATTTTGGGTCACTTCGGTCTCTCACCCGCCACATCGTTGGGACCCATTTTGGGCCACTTCGGGCCTTCGGCCCTCGCCCCCCCCCCCCTTCCCCACCGTTGGGACTCATTTTTACAATTTGGCGCACTTCGGGCCTTCGGCCCTCGTCCCCCCCTTCCCCACCGTTGGGACTCATTTTTACAATTTGGCGCACTTCGGGCCTTCGGCCCTCGTCCCCCCTTCCCCACCGTTGGAACCCATTTTTACAATTTGGCGCACTTCGGGCCTTCGGCCCTCGTCCCCCCCTTCCCCACCGTTAGGACTCATTTTTACAATTTGGCGCACTTCGTGACTTCGGCCCTCGTCCCCCCCCCCCATCCCCACCGTTAGGACACATTTTTACAATTTGGCACACTTTGGGCCTTCGGCCCTCGTCCCCCCCCCCTTCCCCATCGTTAGGACTCATTTTTACAATTTGGCGCACTTCGTGACTTCGGCCCTCGTCCCCCCCCCCATCCCCACCGTTAGGACACATTTTTACAATTTGGCACACTTTGGGCCTTCGGCCCTCGTCCCCCCTTCCCCACCGTTGGGACCCATTTTTACAATTTCGTCTCCCTCCCTCCCCACCGTTGGGACCCATTTTGGGCCACTTCGGTCTCTCCCCCCTCCCCATCGTTGAGACCCATTTTGGGTCACTTCGGTCTCTCACCCGCCACATCGTTGGGACCCATTTTGGGCCACTTCGGGCCTTCGGCCCTCGCCCCCCCCCCCTTCCCCACCGTTGGGACTCATTTTTACAATTTGGCGCACTTCGGGCCTTCGGCCCTCGTCCCCCCCTTCCCCACCGTTGGGACTCATTTTTACAATTTGGCGCACTTCGGGCCTTCGGCCCTCGTCCCCCCTTCCCCACCGTTGGAACCCATTTTTACAATTTGGCGCACTTCGGGCCTTCGGCCCTCGTCCCCCCCTTCCCCACCGTTAGGACTCATTTTTACAATTTGGCGCACTTCGTGACTTCGGCCCTCGTCCCCCCCCCCCCATCCCCACCGTTAGGACACATTTTTACAATTTGGCACACTTTGGGCCTTCGGCCCTCGTCCCCCCCCCCCTTCCCCATCGTTAGGACTCATTTTTACAATTTGGCGCACTTCGTGACTTCGGCCCTCGTCCCCCCCCCCCATCCCCACCGTTAGGACACATTTTTACAATTTGGCACACTTTGGGCCTTCGGCCCTCGTCCCCCCCCCCCCTTCCCCACCGTTGGGACCCATTTTTACAATTTCGTCTCCCTCCCTCCCCACCGTTGGGACCCATTTTGGGCCACTTCGGTCTCTCCCCCCTCCCCATCGTTGGGACCCATTTTGGGTCACTTCGGTCTCTCACCCGCCACATCGTTGGGACCCATTTTGGGCCACTTCGGGCCTTCGGCCCTCGTCCCCTCCCTCCCCACCGTTGGGACTCATTTTGGTCACTTCGGGCCTTCGGCCCTCGTCTCCCCCTCCCCACCGTTGGGCACCATTTTGGGTCCCAACGTTTTGGTTACCCCACTGGGTATAGTACCACTCACACCCGAAATTTCGACCTTTTGTAACTTTGTACAAAATGGTCAGAAAATTTCGGAAAAAATATTTTTAAGCTCAGCTCGATGAGAGCTTTCGATTGATATAACATTTGGCCCATCTGTGGCCATTTTGCAAAAAATTTTTTTTGGCCAAAAATTTTGGCCGTAAAAATCGCCGAAATTTAAAAAATCATAACTTTCTCAAAGTTAATCTTTTTTAATAATTTTAAAAGCTCATTCTATGCAGAAAAATCTGCTCTATCAAGAAAAAATACCTATGCCCCTTACCGCCGGCAAAAATCCCGAAATTTTTTCGAAAAACCGAAAAATTTTGGGTTTTTCGAAATTCGACCCCTACACCTCCAATTTCGAATTTTTTCGAAATTTTCTTCGGTGAAAAAATGCCTAATTTTTAGTACTATTTTTAGAAAGAAACCCCATCCCAATTCCTTTATCCCAAAAAAGTTAAGGTCCCTCAAAAAATCCCGAATTTTCCCCAAAAGGGGTACCCCTTTGGAAATAGGGGGTGGGACAAAATTTTGGAATTTTGGGTCAAAAATAGGCCTATATGGTACTCTGACATGCGCTGAGTACGAATCCGGCCTCGAAAAAATTTTAAAAAATTTCCCCGGGACGTAAGAGTCTCATAAAGTTTTGCGACATTTGGCCACATTCGCTATAACTTTTTACGACTCAAGTGGACCCCCAACATATTATACCTTTTTCGGAGCCCCACGGGACGCTCTTTCGAACTGGCTATCGAAAACGCGTTTTAATTCACGTTACAAAAAGTAGGTTTTTCGACCCCGACTCTTTGACCCAAATGACCCCCAAAATTTCATCTGAGACTCAAGTGGTCAACACCCGATAACTTCCCAACACTCTACCCTCCAACATCACTCCCAGGCCCAAGAACCCCTCACTTCTCAAAAACCCGTTATAAGCCTTTGAAATTTTCATCCGGCCATTTCAGTGCCACACTCGAGTGCGGCACCAAAATGGCCATGCCCATTAAATTTCTCATGGCCGTTTACCTAATACCCCCAGGTCCCATCCAAATCTGCGGCGTGGTTTCAGAGATATAGAAATTGTACAAAAGACCGCTACCCTATGGCGCGACATTTGACCACCATTTAAAAAGGGTTAGACAAGCATATCGTATCTTAGAGTTCGAATTTTTTCGAAAATTTTTTTTTATTCGACATCTACTAAATGCGGGTCAGGGCCCTCTAAGCGGAAGTTTTCCGCTATCTCTTTCGGTTCACGAGATAGCCAGGTCCCAGGGGTCGTTTCGGCGCGAAGGCGCCGGCGTAGGGAAAAATGAATAATTATTTCGGATGCGCCTCGTCAATAACCATGAACAATGTGCAAGTTTCAGGGAGGTACAAACAAAATTGGAACCGCTGAAGTTTTTTTTGTCTGAGTTTAAAAACTATTATATATATATATAATTTAATTTTCTTTTAATTTTCAACAGGTACTGAATATTTTATGGATCACTGGAAACGTGGAGCAAAAGTTTTTATCGGACCAGAAGTGAATTGTCGAACAGAAGCTACGATGGCTTCATCTCAAAATTTACCTTTAATTTCACATAAATGCAAAGATCAGACTGTCAGCGATAAAAAAAGGTTTGTTAATGTTTTAATCTTTAAATCGGTTTAAAAGTTTTTTAAAATACAGGGTTTATACATCAATTTAAATTTAAATTTGTCATTTTAATTTCCTCATGTATTTTTTAAAGATATCCAACATTTGCTAGAACAGTACCAGCAGAATCAGTTATCGCTCGTTCATTCATTGCTTTGTTAAAACATTTTTGTTGGTACAAATTTGTTGTTATATTTGAAAATGCCCATGCCAATGTTGAATTACTTACGGCTATTAGGCGCCTTTTAGAAGAAGAAAGTCAGCAAGTTGAACAACAAAAGAAACGTTCAGATCCCGTAAATGTTTGTAAAGGTGAAAGGAAATACACAATTTTGAATGTTTCTTTAGTTAATCATCCTTTTAGCGAGGTTAGCTTTTTTTAATAAAAATATTTTTATCTGAAATATTTTTAGGTTGAAAAGACAAATGTTGATAAAATTCGTCAAATTGTGGATGCCACAAAAACTGCAACTAGAATTTATGTTACTTTTGGAAATGTTCGTCTTTTTAGAAGAATTTTACTTGAAATGGGTGAAATGGGGTTGATGTCTAATGGGGAATATGCACTTCTTTATTTAGATACTGATTATAACTGGTTGGTTGTTGATTTAAAATTTCTATTTTTATGTACATATTTTATAGGTTGAATGTTTATCACGCAATGAATAATCACTTTTTTCGAGGTTATTTTATTTTGTTTATTTTTAATTTCTGATTTTTAAAATTAAAGATACTCTGCGCAAGTTGAATGAGTCCTGGGACAATCCTGATTCTATGGATAGGAAATTAATCGGTTATTCTAGATCAGCTCTTGCAGTAATTTTTTAATTAAATGATAAATTTGGGTTTAGAAAATTTAGCAAGGGCGTATGATGAGTGGATTAGGATGCTTTAAACTTTTTCCCCGAACGAGGAAAATTAAATTTTGTGAGGAAAGTTATCAATAATGAATTTTTTGTTTGCGGCGTTATAAAATTTTTTAAATTTTTATTAAAAAAGACGTCTTTTTTGCCCTTCTAAAATTTCTCGTTTGCGGCTGTGAAAAGTGTTAAATGCAAAATTATTTGTGCGTAAAAATTTGCGTTTGTAGGTCTGCTGATATTCAGTCTTAGCCTTTGAAATTATTTTTTGTACACTACTGAATTTACATAAATTTTTTTTAGATAATTCCGACTCCTGTACAACTCAATTCTAAAATTTTTACCGATTTTTGGAAAAAAGCAAATTCTTACCTACCTAATTTTGGTGTTCATCATCATGAGACTAGCTCCCCAATAAAGGTTTTTAAAGGTTACCTATTCTAATGTTTTGTCTTTTCAGGCTAATCGTTTTGCTTGTTATCTTTACGATGCGGTTATGTTATATTCTCAGGCCCTCCATGAAACAATCATGGATACTTTAAACAGAACCTCTTCTATCTCTAAAGTAGATGAATCTATTGAAAATGGAAGGGAAATTATTTCTAGAATATTAGGCAGAAAATATAAAAGTTATTTTCATTATTTTAAGGAATCTTTCTTCTTTTTTAATTTTAGGTATGCAAGGTTTTGATATGCGTATTGACGAAAATGGCGATGCAGAAGGAAATTACACCCTTTTGGCACTTCAGGAAGTCGAGCCGGTATTATTAATTAAGGAAATAAGTTAAAATTTATCTTTTTAGGTTCTTGACGGTAGCAATCCTGATTATTATCCACTCAAAGAAGCTTTAACAATCACTGCTGACTTCATGGCTCATCCAAACCCGATAAACTTACCTCAACTTAGATTTCGTCGTAAAATTCGCTGGCCTACTGGGAAACCTCCATTAGATGAACCTGAATGTGGTTTCGATGGAGAGAAGTGTAAAGAGGATGAAAGTTCTTCTTGGTGGGGGACTGTGCTTTATATCGTGCTTGTTTCTTTACTTTTAATTTTTGGGATCGGTGCAATTGTTACTTACAGGCAAGAAATAAATTATTTCTTTATTTTGATTCACAATTTAATTCCAATCTTTACAAATTAAGTTTTTCTTTATTAGAAATCAAAAATTCGAAAGAGAATTGTCAATGGTATGGCGGATTGATAGGCGTGAGATTGAAAAGATTGTGCATTGCAACAATTCATCCTCAAATTCCCTTTACATTATCGAAGCTGGAATTGCTCAAAATGGTGAATTTTTTGGGCAAGCCGCGCAAGACCGCCGTTGGCCAAGTCTTCGAGGGGTTAGATAAATATATTTTTTATTTAAAAAAATTTCAGATTGCCTTATACAAAGGAGCGCTTGTGGCAATAAAAGAGATTCGTTATACTAGAAAACCAAAAGAATTGACAAGAGCGACAAAATTAGAATTAATGAGAATGACAAAACTTAGGCATGACAATGTTAACAATTTTTTGGGAGTTATTCTCCTTCACAATGTTATTTGTGTTGTTAGAGAATTTTGTCCAAAAACAAGCTTGATGGAGGTTTTACGAAATCGTGATATTAAATTAGATTCTCTTTTTATTGCTTCATTTACTGAAGATCTCATTAAAGGTTTTTTTGGATATAAATTTAAATAATTTCCGAACTTTAGGAATGATCTATTTGCATGAATCGGATGTCAAAGTGCACGGGAATCTAAAATCGACGAATTGTTTAATTACCTCCCGTTGGGCTTTACAAGTCGCTGATTATGGATTACATGAATTACGTGATGGTCAAGAATGGGAAAATCCACAGATTATGGTAATTGATTTATTGAAAAATTTAATATTTATTTTTAGTGGGAGAGCTATCTTTGGACAGCGCCAGAGCTTTTAAACCAGTCCGAATTTTGTCGCGTTGTTAAAGGAACACAAAAAGGAGATGTTTATTCATTTGGAATTATTTTACACGAATTAATTGCTCGTCAGGGGCCGTTTAATTTAATTAGAGATTTTAATTGTTTTACTTATGATGAGACAGAAGATATTTCGAGTGCTGAAGAAGTTGTTAGAAAAGTGGTAAATATCTATTATATTTAACATTATCATTCAATTTTAAATTTTTTCAGGTTGCTGGGATTGGATTCAGACCAAGCTTGAAAGGCTTACAATGTCAGGATTATATTGTGGATACAATGGAATTGTGTTGGTCTGAAGAACCTGAATTTAGGCCGGATTTCCGCCATGCAATTCGTCACAAGCTTAAACAACTTTTTGCTGGGACTTTACACTCACGCAATTTAATGGACCATATTTTGGTTTAAGATTTTTCGAAGATTTTTGAATGATTTATTTTTAGGTTATGATGGAAAAATATCAAAATCAATTAGAAGACTTGGTTGATGAACGGACAAAAGAACTGCGAGATGAGAAAAGAAGAACTGATTTATTACTTCAAAGAATGTTGCCAGTTTCTGTAGCTCAACAGGTTAATATTAGAGTTGTACCCCGACCCCGAACCCCGACCCCGTTCCCGAACGATATTTTCACGATTCTCCCCGACCCGAACCCCGCCCCGAAAAAAAGTGAAAACCCCGTTCCCCGGCCCAAAAAGTTTCGGGGTTATCGGGGTTTTATACCCCTAAAATATGTCATTTTTTGGAGAAATTAATGAAGAAAATTTAAAAAATTTTCACCCATTTTACTTTGCTTTTATTATTTTTGAAAGAAAAATGAATGAAATACATATCATAATTTTCTTTCCTCCTACATTAACATACTTGTGGTTGAGTGGCTTAGTAGTTGGTTTTAGCTGATGTTTCATGAATATAGGATTTGGTTCTAATCCATATAAGGAGAACTCGGTTTTTTTATATTTCTTTACAAAAACAAATTATGGACGAGTTAAATTTTAATTTGAAAATATTAATTTTATTTTTAACTGATATCCCTTGAACCACCCTTAATCTTTCAAACCCCTGTATCACCAGTTCTCAACCATAACAGTTGGAAAACTATCGAGTCCTGTTAACGGGAATCAGAGATATAAAGGGATTGTAGGATATCGAAGAATTAAGGAGTTATAAAGGGATTTAAAGGGATATAAGGTTTAGATTAAAATGGATTTGAAAGGATTTCGTGAATTTAAAGGAATTAACAAGGATTTTGTTGGAGATTTAAGGATTAATCCAAGATATCTCATGATATCCGTCCAAATACCCTTATCCGCAATACATCAATATTCTTATAAATGACTAATATCCCTTGAACCAACAAAAATCACTCCAGATCACTTTGTATCCCTAGATATACAATTTAATCCCTAAAAATCCCACTTAATCCCTCCAGATCCTTTTATATCGCAAATTTTACACTTTAATCCTTTCAAATCCCCTCTAATTTCTTAAAATTCTACTTAATTTTTGAATAAATCGACGAAAATATATCATTTTTAATTATTTTTGAGCATTTTTTTCTCTAAAAAATTTTCCACTGAACCCCCGTACCCCGACCCGAACCCCGGCCATATTTTGCTCCCCCGACCCGAACCCCGCCCCGAAACATTTGGAAAACCCCGTACCCCGACATAACCGCCCCCGAGCGTTCGGGGTACAACCCTAGTTAATATAGATCATGATATAAAAAATATTTTTAATTTATGTATTGTAATATTTTTAGTTGTTGCAAGGTCGTGATGTAGTGCCTGAACAATTTCAGTCAGTGACTGTTTATTTTTCTGATATTGTCGGTTTTACTGTTATATCAAGCGAAAGTACTCCTCTTCAGGTTTGATTTGTTTTTTATTGTAAGAAATATATACTATATAATGTCCAAGTGACACCGCCTTGTTACGTCCCTTCCTATCTGATTTTTTTATCTTTCCAGGTAGTAAACATGTTGAACAAGCTTTACACTCTTTTTGATAGAATTATTAAACAATATGATGTTTATAAGGTTGAAACTATTGGAGATGCGTGAGTTTCTATTCGAATAAAACAACTCTAAATCTATTTCTATAAAGTTATATGGTTGTCTCCGGTGTTCCTACGTCAAGAAATGGTGTCTATCATGCCGAACAAATTGCTACAATGGCTTTACATCTATTGAAGGCAGTTGAAAACTTTAGAATCCCTCATAGACCTACAGAGCAATTAAAGCTCAGAATTGGCGTTCATACAGGCAATATCTTTCTATTTATTTCATATTTATTTCGCTTAGGTCCTGTTGTGGCTGGGGTGGTTGGAAAGACAATGCCGCGTTATTGTCTATTTGGTGACACTGTTAATACAGCATCTCGAATGGAAAGTACATCTAAAGGTACGACGATTCTTTTTTTAAAGTTTATATTATTCCCTTCTAGCTCTGAAAATTCATTGCAGTCACCAGACAAAAGAAGCATTGGATATGGATGGTGATTTTGTTATGGAGGAACGTGGAATTGTTCAAATTAAGGTTTAGAACAAAAAATTGTCTTTTCAATAATAATCTCTCTTAGGGCAAAGGACCAATGCGTACATTTTGGCTTGTTCATCGTTTAAACTACAACTTTTTTTCTGATGATCTCGAGGATGAATTTATTTCGGATAGTGAAGATTATGAATCTGAACATTTTGATCCAGCTATATTCCCTCGCTCAAATGTTTTTCGTCATAAACAGAATCCGCGGGATTCATTGAGTAATTTATTTATTAAATAATTAAATTGATTTTTTTCAGCATTGACAAATGCAGAATCTACAAGTACTTTACAACGAGGTAGTGGCTCACCCTCTACTACTGCTCTTTTACGGCGTCTTGTTGAAAAGGCAATAGGCGAAACTGATAGTTTATCATCAACTCATCAACAACAAAATAATTGTGAATTAATTGAGGATGGCCTAGTTCATGTTAATGCTGATTATTTAGGTGCAAGTCGTATTAGTCTTCTCTCTGGAATGAACAATCAAGTGAGTTTTATTCTCGACTTGAATTTTTAATTATTAATTTTATAGTTTAAAAGTCAACTTATTTCAAATTCCCGCAAAAATATCAACGAGCAACCCTCTTCCACAGCAACAATAATTTCTAATGGAACAAATAATGTTTTTTCTTCAAAGTCAGAGGCTTGTAACGGAATGTTACAATCAATTAAGGAGACGAATTCAAACATTAAAATGAAAAATTCGAGTGTAATTTGTAACAATAAATTTTCTCCACAAAAGAAACGCAAGCTTGGCTCAATTGCAATTTCTTCCTCATTTGACTACCATAAATGCCCAACCATTGAATGCAATTCTTCTAATGACAGTTATGGCGATAACTTTAATCAAGCCTCAAATGAACGTAAACGATCGTCTTTACCTGGTTCATTTTCTCTTTTAACTGTAATATTTGAACAATTTTAGAAGCTGATTTATTCACAATGTCTCGCAATGACACAAGTCAAGCAATCTCTAAAAATTCTCAACTCAATAATTTAATCGCAGATAATTGTACTGTTATTCCTTTAAATAAAGACGATGAGGAACATATCTTTGGTGAAAATGATGATTTTGATTGCCTTGAGGCAACCAGGTATTTTTTTAATTTTGATTTTTCGTCATCCTTTTTTAGGAAACGTTCGATTTCTTTTACTGGTGGCACTAACAATGAATTGAACTCGCTTAGACCACATTTTGGAGGTCGTACTTCTCGGCAACATCAAAATAGTGCTCAATCACTTGGGCAGCAACCTTTACCTCTTTGGTCAGAGCCTCACTTGCCGCTCAACCCTCGTCATATCACTTATGGATTGCCAGAAATGGCAAAAGATAATCATCGATCTGTTGGAGGGAATCGGAAACTTTGCAGAATATTTAGGCCTATTCAACAGCAACGTTCTTTTGATCATCAAAGTTCTTCGAGATTTGAGCGTGACTATGAACTTCAAAAACGTCCATTTGCTCGTCAATATTCACGCAGCAGATCGCCGTAATATTTTTTCTTAAATCTTTATTTATATTATCTATTTAAGCAATCTTGGATTAAACCGAATCTGGCGTCGTCTCACAGCAACATCTGGTGGAAATCCATCAATGGCTGTAAAGTCTTTATCAAAACGTTCAAATGAATTATTTCCTATTGATGGTATATGTTCCCAGAATGTATCTTCCTCACATACGATTTCACGTCCATTGTTCTTTCCTGGTGTAATGGAGAATTCTCTTCGCCAAATGGCCCGCCCCCTCTCTATTGGAAGACCATCACCGAGTTCAAAGCAATCAGATTGGGATAATGAATTGACAAATCATTTGCTTGAAGAGTTTGAAATGAAATGATTTTAACATTCCTTTTTATTTGAATTTTGTTTAATTTACTTCCTTTCTCCATTAATTTAAGCACTCTTTAATTTTGTAATTTTATAAATGACCTCTCACTCACAATCTGTTTTTATTTCTTTTATTGTTCTTCTTCCTAGTCATTCAACACATTCTCTTTCATATTTTCCTAACATTTCTAATTCTCACCCACGATAAATTTTAGAGGACTTTTATGTGAGTTACTTTTCGACGTGAAAGACTACGGGGTTAGCCCCTCTAAACAGTTAATAATGCGTATATTTTCGATTTTATGTGCATATCACGCCCAGCGATGATTCTTTTTAAATTTGGAAGTTTATTTTCTTCAACATTGTAAATGCCCCTCTATTAATGACCTCCAATTGAATGGTAAAATTTAATGAGTTCGAAAAGAGAATGGCACTTTTTTAAACGTTTATTCAAGCACTTTAACAATGTTGTAAAAGTTTGTGTTCTTTCCATAAATACATATACTACATATGTATGTATATATTTTCGTAAAATTGAAATTATGTACAAAAAAGACGATAAATTCAATAACCAGCTGGTTGACTTTCCCAGCCCTTTCTCCAATCGCTATTAGCATAAATAATTCCATCTTCAGCTTGATGTACTCCCACCTATTCAATAATTTTAAAAAATATATTTAAAATTTTTAAAAATAATAGTAACCACAACATTAAGCCAATCTAAATTATTAAAATGGGTACGGCCCACTTAGTCGCGGGCCACTTAGTCGCGACCACTTAGTCGCGACCACTTAGTCGCCGGCCACTTAGTCGCAGGCCCACTTAGTCGCAGGCCACTTCGTCGCGAAGGTACTTTTTTCCAGGTCGCTTAAAACTTAAATCAAAGGTAATATCGAGGGATTTGGATGTGATATCGAGGGATTAAATAGTGTAAAGCAGATATAGGGATTGAATATCTGGGGATTTGGCTTTCCAAAACTTGGATTGGCTTTCCAAACTTGGATTGGCTTTCCAAAACTCACTTGGCCTTCCTAAATTCGCAAAATTTTGCCTGCGGCGCTAAAGAGGAATGAGGAATATTTTCGAAACTTTGCATGGATTAATGGGATTTGGAGTGAGATCTGTCGGGATCAGAGCTGCGTCGAAACAAAAAAAATTATCGAAAACCGGAACTCGAAAATCAAAAGAAATCCAAAAATATCGAAACCGAATATCGAAATTTTATGAAAAAATTCGAAAATCGGAAATTCCGGTTCCGGGATACGGAACTCAAATTGGATCCGGTTCCGATTCCGGTCAAAATATCGGTTCCGGTGCAACACTGCTTTTTAGCTAGTTCGCGACTAAGTGGCCTGCGACTAAGTGGGCCTGCGACTAAGTGGCCGGCGACTAAGTGGTCGCGACTAAGTGGTCGCGACTAAGTGGCCTGCGACTAAGTGTCCGTGTCCCATTAAAATAATGTCCACGTTCTTTCAATCCTTCTTTTAATTTCTCGGGTATTCTTTCTTCAAACATGGTAAAATTTGGTCTAAATTGATTATGCAATCGAGGAAAGTCAATAGCTTCTTTAATATTCATTCCAACTTTAAGAATATTAAAAGTAGTTAAAGCTACTCCAGAAATTATCGTTGAACCTCCAGAAGCTCCTATAGCTAATGTTTCCTTTAAAAATATTTTCTTGAATTTATAAAACTTTTAAAACACCTTTCCATTTTCTTTAAAAACAATAATTGGACTCATCGAACTCATTGGCCTCTTTCCCGGCTCAATATAATTTTGAGGAGAGGGCGGATAACCCCAATCTTTAATTAAAATATTTTTATCAAAAAATTTTTTATTTTACAATTTGGCATTCCTTTAGTCGAAAAATCATCCATTTGGTCATTAAATATTATTCCAGTTGATTCACTTAAAACAAAAGATCCAAATCTTTAAATAAAAATAATTACTATTTATTTCCTTTTTAAATTTCCAATCTAACGCTATATTTAATGTTGTAGTTATAGAAACTGCATTTCCCCAACGGTCAACAACACTTATTTGTGAAGTACCGTGATCTTCTGGTAATGCTTGATGAGCATTTCCTTCTTGATGTGTTGGATGTGTTGGATGTGTGGATGTGTTGTGTTCATTCATATTTTTTCATTCATATTCATTCATTCACATTTTCATTCATTCACATCCACTGTCTGGATGTGTTCTCAAAGTTATTTTATTTCTTAAAGAAAATTTGAAAAAAAAAAGAAAAAAAAATATTTTTCTGACCGAACATTCTCAGCCCATTCTTGGCTAGTTAATAAATGTGATAAATTAAGAGAATTGGGTACAAAGTCAATATCACCTAACGAATCTCGAATTGAATATGCAAATTTAGAAGCTTCGATAAATGAATGGAAATAATCGACAGAGCCGGATATTGTAGTTAAATTAAATTCCATTCTTTGAAAAAAATTTTTTTAAATTAATTTTTTGGATTATTCTTATTTAAATCTCAAAATTATTCTTATTTTATAAATTATATATTTCCTCAGTGAAAATATCTTAGTTTTCTTTACAAACTTGGATAAAATATTTATAATTCCTTGAGTTACTGCTGATCCAGATGGTGGAGGTGGTCCACAAATTGTTCTTCCATTAGGAAGTTTAGTATAAATAATATCTTTATCTGATCGAATAATTGATTTGTAATTGTTAAAATCCTCAAATGTTAATCTTCCATCTTTAAATAAATTATTAAAATTAAAACAAAAATGTCTTCTTTCCCGTTATATTTCGTTCCCGCTAGATTAACCAATTTTCTTTCTAATAGAATGATTGTCATTCTATTTTTAATAACTTCATTTAACGGAAGAGGCATTAAAATATAGGGGTCAATCTATTTGAGAGAATAAAGTACGAATACTCACGACTAATTTTTTTATCTTTTAAAATTATTTAATCCAAGTTTAATTAACTACATTCCTCCCCCTCCCCTTACAAACTATTTTTTTCAAATTCCTCTGAAATACTCCTTGCTATTTCTCCTTTATAAAAAATTTCTAAAGGATTGGAGCAATTAGCTAATATCCTCAAAGTATCTGCCAATTTATTTCTTGTATTAATTTGTTCTCCAGCAGCAAATAAATGCCCAGTTTTTGGATTTGTAAATATAGAAGCTAATAATTTATTTGAAAGAATTTGTTGTTTATGATTTTGTAATTGTCTAGCAAGAACATGAGAAGTTGGAGAACCTTTTTTAATTACATATTAGTTAAAAATAGTAGAAGCCTGACTTAGAGCTACCTTCTTCCAATAATTGAATTGATGGTTCAACAAGTGTTTTCCATTCTAAATTTCCACCAAAATTTTTGTATTCAGTCCAAAATCCATGTAATTCGCCCGGCACAGCAACAGCTTCATACCCTATATGAAAGAGAAGTTATACTATTTACTATATATTAATTCACGCCATATCTAGAAGCATTTTTTCTATTAAAAAACATATTTTCAGTTGAATTTAAAGGAGCTACTTCTCTAGCATCGACAACATGACATTTATTTGTTGTACTAATTTAAATAAAAAATTAAAAAAAAATTTTTTTAAATTACGCATTATAAATAGTCATTAAATGTCCTCCTCCTAAACCAGCAGAATGTGGATCTTGTATTCCTTTATTATTTTAAAAATAAAATTATTTACACATATATGGATAATTAAATAAATATTTTTTTAATTTTTTCTTTAACAACCACATTAATTATTAGATTTAAACCCCTTAAAATAGGTACCTAAATACTATACAACACAGAAAAATAAGTTGCAAAGTAAGGTCGACATAGTGTGCAAAAAGCAAAAATGTCGAGTATTTTTTATTTTTTGTTAAACTCAAAAATAGGTTTCAATTTTTAACAATGAAGCTAGTAATTTTTAATTTTATATAATAAAATATTTGTACCAATACAAAAAGCTGTTGCAATTGCTGCTTCAACGGCATTACCACCACGTAAGAGAATATCTCTTTAAAGTAATTATTATTTTTAAAACATTTAAACTAATTACCTTCCAATATTAGAACAAATAGCATTATCAGCAGCAACTGCCGCTTAAAAAGAAAATATTTTTTTATTTAAAATTAATTAATTAATTAATTACCAGTTGCAAATTTTCCATAAAAACTGTCAGTTTGTTTAGGCCATTTAATTAAATTATTTTCATCATTTTTAATATTTAAAAAATAAAGAAGGGCGAAACAAATTGATGTTAATAAAAATATTATATTAAATATAATTAAAATAATAAATAATGGTGATAATCTAGTAAATAAAGAATTAATTCTTAAAAGAATAATTCAAAATTAGATTTAGACATGAACACCAAACACAGTTATCAATTGTACCGCGAGGTTTTCGGTTGGTGTTTTGACAGACCTCCTGTTTTAATCGCGGCTCTTTTTCAGTTAATTCTTTGTGGCCAGTCCTATATAGTACAATCGTATCTAACAATATATTTTTCTCAATATCAAATCTATGTATGATAAACTTTAAATTTTTTTAGCTTTTTAGATTTGACCTAAGATATTTGATGTTAATTGTTAATTATTCTTAAACCAAATAAAATATTTATTTTATACAAACCTTTGACGAAAAATACTTCGTAAATAATTTTCATTTAATTTATTTAAAAAAGAATTTTTATTTTTATTAGAATTCATTTTATATTTTAAATACAAGAGGGAAATAATTTATTTATATTTAATTAATTTTTAAATAAAATTTTCTTATCAATTAAATGCCATATGCATAGAATGATCTCAAAATGAATTTATTAACATACAACTATAAAATTCTAAAATTACTTACTTAAGCAATTAAAACAAATATGCATACACAATTAAAGAATTATTTAGGGAATTATTTTGTCTAAAATTATTTTATCTAAAATATTTTAATTAATTAAGCAATTTAAAGCATGATTTATTGTTTTTAATTTTAAAGTTTATTTAATATTTAAAATTCCAAATTTTCTTCAAAATTTTATTAAAAAATAAATTTATTTCCAATAAAATAATTTAATTAAACAAAAACAAATTACAAAACCAGAAATTAAACAAACAATAATTCTTGTCTTTAAAGTTGGTTTTTCTTTAACAACATTGCTGTTTTCTAAACAATTTGGTAATAATAATGTTGAGTTATTTAATAAATTTTCTTTTCCATTTTTGCAACAATTATTTGTTGTTATTTTTGAATTGTTTGGTATTTGTATATTAACCTTTTTTTAGAAGAAATAAAAGGTTAATTGATTTAAATAAAATTAAAAATAAATTACATTTTTTGTTGCTTGTTTTAAATTAGAATCCTCTATTGAAGAAATTTTATCATCAAATTCTAGTCTTTGCATTGATTCTCGACGACTAAAAATTAATATATTTTAATAAAATATTAATTTAAAAAAAGAAGTTCCTAATTTTTGTCTTTTAATTGCAATTAATTTATTTAAAAATTAATTAATTATTTAAAAAAGTAAAACGAGTTTATTAATCAAATTAATTTATATTAAACTTTAAATTAATAGAATAACCAAAAATGGACCAAAAACCAATTAAAAAATAAAATGTTAAATTAATTTTTAAATTTAAATATTTAATTTTTAATTAAATATTATTTTACAATTTATTTTTGAAATTAAGTTATTATTAGGTAGTTGTACTATTACTATTGTAGGCAATATATATTTCTTTTTTTTTTAAATTTATTTTAAAAATTATTTTTAGAAAAAAGTCTATCGTTAAAATTTTTATCTTAAATAAAATTTAAAAATTAAATAATTAACCAATAATTAATTGAAAAAGTAGTTGTTTTAGGTTTTGTCGTTTGATAACTCCAATTTGGATTAAATGAAGAAGAAATTGAATTATTTAAAAAATAAAAAGGTAATAAATTTAAATTTTGATTATTTTCTTTTTTTAAATTATTAAATGATTTTTGTTTGTGAGGAGTTAAATCAAAATATGTGCTTAGAGTTTTTGGTAATAAATAATTTGTAGTGGTAGTAAATTGTGAATTGATTGGAGGGGAGGTAATATTGGAGGAAGAGTAATTTTTATCATTCATTTATTTAAAATAATTATAAGTATTGCTCTGCTGATTAGAAAAAGAAAAAAAAATACATATTTTTAAATATTAATTAATTAATAGAGAGACATGTTTATTTTAAAAATGATACTAATAAATAAACAATAAATATTGTCAGCTGGGGGTTCAATTAAAGATAAACAAAATGGAAGGAACAAAAAAATTGAAAAACAATTAAATTTAAAAGCAGATAAAATAGAAAAAAATTAAAATAATAAAAAGCTTTTAGTGTAAATGAGTAAATATTGTATCTACTTAAATAAATACCTAAGTAATTAATTATTGCTTCAAGTAATTAATAGAGTGAGGGTAATTATCTGAGTAAATACAGTAAATAAAAATAAATAATATACTCCTTTAACTATATTTTATTTTAAATTAAATTGTTCTTTTTTTGTAAATAAATATATTTATTTAAATATGTATGTATCTTATTAATAAAAACAATAAAATTTTTTAAAAAATATCAAACGACTAAATATTTTAAAACATTTTTTGTATTGTTTGCCTAAATATTTGGCCATTCTTTTTCCTTTTTTTACACTCATTTTATTTCTCTTTCACCCGAAAATTCATCGATCTACCAATGATTAAAATAAATAACAATTTATTGAAAATAATTTTTAAAAATATTTTTTTAATTTATTTATTTTATAAAAGAAAATTTTTGGTTTGAAAATTCTTTTATATAAATTAAATTTTCCTATTTACATCTTCATTATAATTTAGAATATTTGGTTGGTATATTCATTTAAAAAATAATATTTTTAATATAAAAATATTTTTTTTAAATTAATTTAAATTTTCAACATTTAAATTTCTCTCATTTTATTGTTGACCATCAATTTTTGTCAGATGAATTAAAATATTCTATAACTGTTTATTAAATTTAAATAAATTAAAAAAGGAACAGAATATTTATCCCCCCTCACCCAATCTCTTTAAAATTTTACGGAAAGATATGGAAATAAATTTTATTTAAATTTAAGCATTTTCTTCTGTGTCAGACATAAAAAAAGCATTTAAAAATATTATTTTTATATACATAAAATTATTTACATAAAGCTTTCTCCAAAAATCCTTCTTAATTTTCTTCCACAAAATTCACATTTCTTCAAAACCAATGTTTTTAACAAAAATATTATTTTTAATTATATTTTATTTAATTTTTATTTTTAAATTAATAAATGGATTTAGATTAGATAAAAATGAGCCATTCGGTGTTTATAATGGAATACCTGCAAGAATTATTGAATATGGTGATAGAAGCTAAAGAATATTTAAAATATAAAGATTATAATTAAATAAAAAATTTTTTTTAATTTTAATAGAGGATAAATATTTACATTCGTTATATTCTTTTAAACATTCTTAAATAATATTTAAAATATACTGTTTATAAAATTTTTTATGTATTATGGACATATACATATAAAAAATAAGCTTTGACTCATCATTTAACTATTCAAACATAAATTTTAATGTAAAAAAATAAATTTTTTATTACTCTATTTTGGATTTAAGAATTACTTTTAAATTTTTTTAGACAACTTTATACCTTTAATGTATTTAATGTATGTACTATGTACATACATATGTACTATTTGACTAGAATAAAATTAAACTGTTATTTTATTTAAACTTAAATTATTTTGAAATACACTTAAGAAGCTTACAAAAAATTTAATTTCAAATTTTATTACATCTCCCTTTCCGTGAATTAATCAAAAAAATTGGTTGTTTTATTTAATTTTTATCATAATAAAGAAATTTTTTTATTTAACAAATAATATTACTGATAAAAATTAAAAGTAAAATAATAATTAATTAGTCACACAAAAAATTAATTTACTACAAATTATTATTTTAGTCAATTGTTTATGATTTTTGTAAGAAAAAATATTCTAATCTTAATTTTGTTATTTATTAAATTTATTTAAATGTTAACACCAACAACATCACCACCAACCATTTCTTCAAATCCACTCAAATCATCTGCTAGTCAACAAAAAATTTATTCACAAATAAATTCAAAAAATACATTTAATATATTATTATTAGGTGATGAATCTTCAGAAAAATATAAATTAATATGTACTTATTTGGATACTTATTTTCCTGAACAACACAAAAATAGTAATTGTTTATTTTTTGAACATACAATTAATGTTTGTTTTTATTTAATTAATTAATTAAAAAGAAATATCTTGAATAAAACAAATTAATTGGGGACCTGCAAGAGTTCGAGCCCTCAAATCTCTCAATTTTTCTAAGCAAATATTTCAAACAGTATTATTATAAATATTTTTTAATATTCCTCTATTAAATAGAATTTCTCTTTGGAAACTGCACGGACCGGGTCACGACTTTTTCCGAATCATTTTGACGTCAATAAATATGAAATTATTATAAAGTTTTTAAATTTAGACAACAATCAGAGAAACACCTTCTACATTAAAGTAAAATAACTTTAATTGCCTTTAATTAATAAATATTTAAAAGAATTTGGGACTTAGCTGGACAACCATGTTACGACAAACTTAGACACTTAGCTTATAAACAAATCCGATTTGATGTTATTCTTGTTTGTTTTTCTGTTGTTAAACCACAGACATTAGAAAATGTAAAAACTATTTGGTTACCAGAAATTAAAAGAAAAAGTCCAAATACTCCATTTTTGTTAGTTGGGACACAGGTTATAATTAATTTAGTTTAAAAATTACAAAAAAATATTTTTAAAGATTGAATTAAGAACAGACAAAAAAACATATGAATTATTACAATTAGCAGGGCAATTACCTATAACTAATTCTTTTGGTTTTAAATTAGCAAAAAAAGAAAAAGCAAAAAATTATATTGAATGTTCGGCTGATAGAAAACAAGGATTACAAGAATTATTTGAAGAGGCTATAATTACAGTTATTAATTTAAGAAGGCTTTGATACATAGAACATATTTATTTATTATATTTTAATTAAAATTCTGTAAATTTCATCGCCCGTAAATATTAAAAATGAACAAATATTATGATCAAAACTTTAATTTTATTTTAAGAATTTTTCTATCTTTTAAATGGAGGAAGTTGGGCTTCTTGGCCTTCCAAAATTCTCAAAATGAGTGAATTTTCGTGTCTCAAGCAAGTTAGATTTTCAAATACTGAAATAATGGCTTCTTCTGAAAATCTAAAAACTCTGATTTGTTAATTTTTGTCAGCGAAGACCGCAATCTCCTCCAACTTGCGCGATAAAAATTGCATGGAATAAATATAAAATAGATGATATGTACTTATACGCGAGACGAATATTGTATCATGACAAGACTGACGATTTAATTAAATAACAATATGAAGACGAAGGACGAAGGGGATCATGTAGAAGCTATTATGCCCCAATTGATGCGGGTAGCAATGGCTTTTATATTAACACTAATCTAACAGCTTATATACTAAGGCAATTAACATAACGGCCAGAGTCAAAAATAAACTATAAAAACAGCTTAATATAAAATTCCCATACCCAAGTTCAACTACACTCATCATCTACAGTCATCTACGTCGACGCTCAGTACTTCGCTTCACTCCTTCAGCAATGATATCGCGCCAGGCCTCGGACGTCAACATGTTGAGCAGCATCACGGCACTTGCAGCTAAAGAGGAGTTCGACATCGCACATTTCAACAAGGTCGGTTTAAATGCTAATAGCAGCTCAGAGCATTCATTTTTTCTTCTACCATTCAGGTCCTAGAGCACTGCAGCTACATCAAACTGAACGACGAACAGCTCAGGGAGATCATGCAGCGCCTGGAGCAGAGCTTTGCAGAAGGGCTTCAAAAGGGTACGTTGATTGCTTTGATTTTTCGATTTTCAGAAGAGTAAATAAAGCGATTTTTCGATTTTCAGAAGAGACTGCAGTGGTTAAAATGCTCCCATCGTTCATTCGCGCAACTTCTGTGGGCAAGGAGAGTGGGGAGTTCTTGGCACTAGACTTGGGCGGAAGCAACTTCAGAGTACTGTTGATCACCCTGCACGGCGACGGGAAGAAGGGAGAAATGAGGCATGTGACCTATGCGGTGCCACAGGAGCTGCAGCAAGGAACTGGAGAACATCTCTTTGACCATGTCGCTAACTGCCTTCACAACTTCATGGTAGAGCAAAGGCTTTCCTGCAACAAGACGCTCCCGCTTGGATTTACCTTCTCGTTTCCTTGTCAGCAAAAAGGATTGGCATCGGCATCACTCGTCGCATGGACCAAAGGATTCAGTGTGAGCCTTTCTCAATATACTTTCAGTTATAAAATCAAAAATTGTTTTTCTTTTCAGGCCTCGGGCGTTGTCGGCAAAGACGTCGTTCAATTGCTCACGGATGCGTGTCGGCGGAAGAACATCGCGGTCAATGTCGTGGCGCTCGTCAACGACACCGTTGGAACAATGTTGGCATGCTCATTCTTCGATCCTGACTGCTCCATTGGGCTCATTGTTGGGACTGGGAGCAACGCTTGTTATATGGAACGCTTGGAGAACATTAGCAAACTCAATGGTTTGGTCAGCGTAAATGGTCGGCGTGATTGTGTGGGTGAAAAATATTTTTCTCTCGTTTTTAGATGGACTTCCTGAAGAAATGTGCATAAACTGTGAGCTCGGTGCCTTCGGCGATGACGGGAAGATCGACAAGTACAGGACGGTGCACGACAAGAAGCTAGATGCCAACTCCATAAATCCGCGCAAACAAACATTCGAGAAGATGATCTCCGGGATGTACTTGGTCAGATTTCTATCTCTCCAATAAGGGTTTAAATTTTCTTTAAGGGCGAGCTTGTGCGTCTTGTGTTGGTCGAGTTGGCAGAAGCAGGACTTCTCTTTTCTGGGTCAGCGGTCACCAGCAGTGCTATTGGAAAACAAGGATCGTTCTCAACTCGGATTCTGTCAGAAGTAGAGAGGTGATTTTCCATTTTTAAAAGTTTTGGTTGAGCAAATTTTTTAACTTAAGGTATGTGCTCGAGTCTGAAAAGCCGCTGCATAAGATTGGCCTGCTCTTGTCAGATAATGGTTCGTGGGCATACATTTTTGGGGTGGGTAAATTCATCTTTTTCATATTTCACAGGTATTGCTTCCCCGTCGTCAACTGACTGTGCTGTTGTGGCCTACGTTTGCTCCATGATCAGCTCAAGGTCGTCCAATCTCTGCGCAGTGGCGATGGCCACCATTCTCCAAAGAATTAATCGGAAGCGAGTCGCGATTGGCGTGGATGGCAGCTTATACAAGGCTCACCCGACATTCAAGGACTTGTTGTCAACAAAAATTGAGGCACTGACAGGTGGAAAATATGAGGTGAGAAAATCACCTTAAAAACTAGAGCTTTATTTAATATTTTTTAGTTCAAACTAGTCCTCTCGGAGGACGGGAGTGGGCGCGGAGCAGCAGTGGCAGCAGCCGTGGCAGTTCGTTTGGCAGGCGCTGGCGGGAAGAAATAAGCGAAAAGAAAGATGCCCTCGGAAATTGTGTGATAGTTGTACTTGTATATGTGATAGTCTGTTTGTTCATATTGTATTGATAGTAATTCATATTGTATGTATATTGTATATTATTGTTGTATGTATATTTAAACGGATAAAATGAGCCAATTTTTGTCTTAATATTTTTTCTATTTGTGATTGCTATGTCCAAAACTATCAAGCTTACAATCTTTTACTCTTCCGCATTTTTGTCCTCTTTCACGATTCACACTCCTAATGGAAATAATTTGTCTTTGAAAAATTTATTTTGACCTTCCAGAAACTTTCGCCTGTGGTGATAAAAAAAAGGCAATCTGGCCTCATAGACTTCTAAAATTCCAAAAAAATATTTTTTGCAGGTTAAAGCAGTTTGTCCCGAAAAATAAAAAATATATAAATATTATTATTTTCTACTAAAGTTTTTTGTAAATATTTATTGACTAGGATTTAAAATAATTTTCATCGAGGGTAAATTATTAAAATGAATATTAATAAAGTGAATAAAATTTTAGATGGATTTAAAAATTAATTTTATAAAAGTTTTTGTTAATTAAATAAAAATTATAGAAAATAAAATATGGTAAATTAATTTTCAAATCATTTCCCATTATTGTAATATTTATTTTTATTCTTATTTTTAAAAAATGTTTTCTTAACAGCAAATGCAGCAGCTCCCATTGCAGCTCCAACTGCAGCTGCTTTCAAATATCCACGTCGTACTCTTGTCCTTAAAATTTTAATTATTTTTTTATTTGCAAAAAAAGTTATATTTAATTCCAAACAAATTTAAAATATTTTAATTTTCAATTAATTATTTTAAATAATTTACTTCTCAATTTGAGAATCAATTTTATTCTCGTTGTTTATTAAAGCATTCTGATTTGGATAAATAAATGACATATTTGATTTAATAAGTAAAAGTTCCATTAGAAGAATAATATAAAGAAATTTCGGTGTTTTTAGTAAGCCAAGCATTTCTGAATTTAATTTTAGAAATTCTGAAAATTAAATAAAATTTTTAGAAAAATTAAATTAAATATGGGGAGGATGATTGAAATGGAGAGAATGGGGAGGACGAATGAAATTTACATAAAAATTTCAATTCAATAATTTGTGATGAAGGGCAAGTATATTTTGTTTAATTTTTATTCGGAGTAAATAAAAAATATAAATAAATTAACAACCAAATTACATATTTTTAATATAAACCACATAAAAAAATAATTTCCCAATTTTCTAACGAATATTCTCGAATGACCGAAAAAAACTTTTTTATTTAAAAAAATTTCTCGAGAGTGACAAAAAGAGGATTACAAATAATTCTTTTTTTTTCTTTTTTAATTGAAAATGCGCGGTAGTTGAGGAGAGAAAATGAGAGAGAAAAACAATTGTTTGTCTTTCTCTGAATATAATAAGGATGATTCATTCATTTTTTGTATTCTTTTACCTAAACAAATCCCCTTATTATTATATTTTACAAACCTTTAAGTTTTTGTTTACATATATTTTTATTTATTTATTTCGTTAGCAAAAAATAATAGCTAAAATGTGAAATAAAACACAAATGACAAAATTTAATCTTTGAACATTTTAAAAGATAAACTCAGTTACAAAAATTAAAAGTTGGAAATAGTATAAAAAATATATAATAATAATTAATTAAAAATTTATGACTCATAATTCCCATATATACCTATATTATTTTTTCTAATCTAATTTTATGAATATTTATTATATATATTTTATTAGAGGGATTAATGGATTAAATAAAATTTATCTATTTTCAGTGTTCCATTTTTTATTCTCACAGTCATTGTTAAAAATATACACCAGCTGATATTTTTAGTTTTGTTGTTTTAAATTAACATAGGAGAAAATGATTGTGGAGAAATACAACCCTTAAAAATGAGATAATTTAAATTTTGATCAGATAAATAATCCTCTTATATGTATTTGATGGAATAAATTGAATAAGGGGAAAAATGTTGATTACTAAATAAAACTAAATAAAATTTAATTTATATTTAAATGATTTATAATTCATAAATTTTAATTAAAATAATTAGCCTTCTTCTAATTAAACAGGCAAAATTTATTAAACCAAGTTTTCCCTCTATCAAAAATTTCTGCAAAAATATTTATTGAATATCATTATTTTATTTTATAAAATTAACTAAAAATATATATAAATAATTCTTTGATCAAAATTAAAAAAAATATATTAAAGGCACATAAAAGCAAAAATAAAAAAAGAAATAATTAATATTGAAGGCATTAAAATTCTTTTAATTGTTCCATTATTTTCTTCTTCAAAAATATTTCTAGATTGTAATTTATTATTTTTTTGGATATTTATTTTCCATTTTTCTAATCGTTCATCTAAATTATTTGTTGTAGTTGTTTTTAAAATTTTTAAAGGAAATTCTGTTGATGTTGTGTTTATTTTTGATATTTCATTAATGTTTTCTGTTGGAATTATTTTTATATTAATTTCTTCTTTTTCATCCTCTTTTGTTATTATTTTATTATTATTTTCTTTTGTTGTATAATCATCAAAGAAGGATTTTGTTGAAATTATTTGTTCAGTTGTAGTAGGTAATAATAATGTAGTAGTAGTTGTTGTTGTTGTTGTTGTTGTTGTGGGAGGAGGAGTGGATGTTGAGGGGAATAATTGTTTAGTTGATGTTTTATATGGATTTGTTGTTGAGGAGGTTATTCTAAATAATATTTTAAACAAAAATAATATTTTATTTTAAATATTTTTTTGTTGAGAACCCAACCTCAAAATTCTCATCCTCAATTTTTTAAATTTATTTCCTTCTAACCGTTTTAAATGGTAATTAATTTTTATTTTACCGAAAATGGAGAACGATATTTTAAAATTAAAAATAAAAGCTATTCAAAAATTGGTCTTTATCTGTAACTATTTTTTTAAAATAGAGGCATAATTAAAACCAATAATTTAAATTAAAATAAAATTTCACCTTCTACTAGTTTCTGCTTGTTGAGCAATCCCATATCTATTACACATTTGACTATCACAAATACAATAATTAACAAAACCTTTATTTTTAAATTTAATTTATTTTTTTTAATTTAATTTCACCATTATGTGTAGATGCACAACCTAAAAGTAATTCATTTCCAATATTTTGCTCAGAAATTTCATCAGGAAAGAGTAATGAGAATTGGGTTTTTGACATACAACCCTTCTCGACAATAAAAGAATCTTTAGAAAAGTTTTGAAAAGAACAATTTTTTTCAATTAATTTAAAACCTTTTCTGTTTTGTGTTTGTCTTGTTATACAATATTGTTTTTCATTGTTAGTTAATTGTTTAGCACAATTAATTGTTCTAACAGTTCGACAATCAGCATTTGCATCACTATGTATTTTTTAATTTTCTTTAAAATCTTTTTTTTAAATTACTTCAATTCATTATCTACACAAACAGCACAATTTAAAGCTTCGATTATTTCTTCCTCTAAAGGTACTATTTCTGTTGTTTCTTTTATTTTCTCTGTTGTTTTAATTGTTTGTATTTTATTTGTTTTTTGTTTATTTTCTATTTCATCAAGTTCAGCTATTTTACGAATTCCAAAAGACATCTATTGTGTTTAATTTAGCAATTAATTTCAGATTGTATTATAAATCTACATAAACCCCTCAAAAATCTCTCTCTAAACTTAATTTTTTCCTTAACTAAGAATCTTAGTAAAATCTTTATAATTTTTGGATAACACTCCCTCAAAAAATATTTTTTTAAATTATTTTCCCTTTAAAATATTAAATTATTCGACCTGTTCAGAAAGAGATACTTTATTGCATTGAGGAGAAGAACAAACACAAAGTCTTTGTTGTTGACCGGATAAAGAAGGCCTAAAATCTAAACAAGCTGCCTCATCCCTATTTGCCCCATTTAATAAATCAACAGTTTTGTAACTTCCGTATTCTTCAAGTATTTTTCTTTCTGTTAAACAATTCTTTTCTATTGTTAAATTACCTCCTTTAAATTATTTTTTAATTAAAAAAATTTTTTGAAAAAAGATTACCGGGTTCAATCCAAAAATGTCTAGTTATACAAAAAGGTCTGCCAATTCCATTTATTTGTTTACTTAAATCTGGACAACTAACAACTATTTGGGAATGACATTCTGCAGTTATTTTTGTATTATTTGTTTCTTCTTTACATTGCATACATTGTAATTCTTTTATTTAAAAATTAAATTATTTTTATTTAAATTTAATTTATTTGAGAACTTGTTAGTAACGAGAGTTAATCTTATAATATTTAAGAAAAAAATACATATAACTTCACAGAATTACCTGGCAATAACCCCAATTGAGCTCCAGATGCCAAAATATCCCCATTTAAAGGTGTATTATTATCAACTTCCAGGCTTTGTTGTTTGGGCCTTTCTATAATTAAACTTTTTGTAAATAATTTTGTTGAAATTTTTGGGGTTGTTAATAAATTATTCTGTTTAATTATCTCTTCTTTTTCATTTTCCTCATTATTCCATTCATTATTTATAAAATCTTCTTCTCTCTTTATAGTTTCTTAAATATTAAAAAATAATATTTATTTTAATTATTCATTCAATTATTTAAATGTAAAAACAAAAAATAAGACTAGTTAATTTATTGAAAATGACTCAGAGTTACTAAAGAAAATATAAATAATAATTTATATTTTAGTAAATTTAAAAAAAATTATATTTAGTTAAACCTCATCTAAAAAATGCTTTTTTTCAAAATTTAATTATAAGAAGAAGGAATTTATTAAAATTAATAATTAAAATAAAAACAAATAAATATAAACAAAAATAAATTAAATTTATTAATTAAATAATTACCAATAGTTGTTGAAGACAATAATTCTTTTCCTAACTCTTCTTCTCTAATTTTTTGATTATTAACAGGAAATAATTCTTTTGATCTTTCTCCAATTTCTTCAATTTTTGGATTAAAAGTTGTTTGATTTTCTATTTGTTTTTCTTCTTCATTTTCTTCTATTTCCTCTTTATTTTTATTTATTTCAGGAATTAATTCTGTTGTTTCAACAGAGACATCATCAAACAATTCTGGATTTTTCTAAAATAATTTTTAAAGTATTTAAAACTTCCAAAACTTAACTAGAAAAACTTTTTATGATTAAAATTTTTCTTTTCTAATTACAATAGAAATATAATTGAGAAAAGGACACTAGATTGATTTAGCGTGTTAGTGCAGCAACTAAATTAGTAAATTATTTGGAGATAAAATTGTTAAAGTTGTCTAATTTATTGAGATTTTACTTATAATTTTTTTAGCTTTTTCCCTCCCCATTTCCATAAAATTTTTCGAGATTTTATAAAGCAACTAAAACCCTCCAAACTTTGATTGAAAACTTTAAATTATTTTTTAAGAACAATTTCTCTAATAAAAACTTTTAGTTTTTCTATCAAAATATTTTTATTGCCAATTTACTTGTTCAAACTCAGCAAATTGTTCTCCAATAGAAGGATAATTACAAAGAGAAGTATTACATATACAATAAGCAACTTCAAACCCCTCTAATAATTGAATATCACAGTCAATTTCAGTTTTTTGTGGTTTTCTGTCAAATGTGGCATAATGGGCATTTTCTATTATACATTCTTTTACTACAGTGAATGTACCTTTAAACGAGAATTTTTCTTTAAATTAAAATTATATATTTAAATAACCATTAAGTGCTTTATGTCTAGTTGTTCGACATAACATTTTTTGATCTTTAGAAAATCTTTTTGCATAACCATTACAGCTAAAAGGAAAAGAATCTTTACATTCACCTTCTTCATCTAGGCCATCCTCAGCACAGATATAACAATTTAAGGAATTAACTTTAAAAAAATAAATTTTTAAAAATTTCTGAGCCCGAATGGAGATTTTTAAAATAAAGCAGTTAGTGTTAAACTCTAAATAAAAGCTTTAAAATCCCTAAGTTAACTGTATTTTTATGTAAAAATATTTTTGGAAGAAATAAAAAATTTCAAATAATTAATTTACCTGTATTTATAAATAAAATATTATTAATGAAGAAAATAAATATTGAAATAATAAATAAATCTTTAAATTTCATTACCTTTAAATAAATAATTAAAATAAAATTAAAAAGGAAGAAAAGATTTATTTAATTTAATTTAAAATATTAAATTAAAAATTGCCCTCATTTCAAGACAAATCAGCTGGATAGTTTTTCTTAAAATGAGGCTTTATGGGGATGGTGACATTTAAAAGCTGTAAACGATTTTTCCGCCTCGTGTATAAATAAAAGGAATAAAAGAAAAAAATTTATAAAAATTAAAGTAAATTAATTTTGAAATTTAAAAATATAAAATATTAAAATAATTTAAATGTGTGATTAGCTAAGATTGATTGAAATGTGTAAATTTTATTAAACCAAATAATCAAATAATATCCATTTCTTTTTTATTAAAATTTATGTTACAACCATTTTCGAGACAAAAAAAATCAGAAAAGTTTTCCTTATTTTATTATAAAAAAAAGAAACCAATCAGCAACATTTAAGCAATGCAATATATAATTGTGAGATCTAAATACTGAACGATTTCTTTATTTCAAGTATATACTGAATATCTTCTAATAAGAAACAACTTCCCCCCCCCCTCTTTCCCTCCTTTTTTTTCACTCATCCGCGATCGAAAAAAACAATTTCTACAACAACTACACGCACACTTTAATTCCTTTTTTTATCCATAGCTACAAATAGCTTCGAGGAATGATGAGAAATAAAAAAAGAAAATCTCTCATTCCTCATTTCAGGTCGTCGGATTGAGAACATTAAAATTGAGGGCTATTTGTTGGAAGGGAATTGGTGAGGAAAAGAATATATAAATTCTTTTTTTTGTCTCCGTAACCCAAGTTTTGTTGAGAGATTAACTTTTTTAAATAAAAAGAAAAAAATTAGGGAAGGCGTCATGAAGATATATTAATGTTTTTTAAATTGTTTACGAGAAGAATTTTTGAAGAAAATTGATAAAAATAGAAAATTTGGATTTTAAAAATAACGTTTAAATAATTAAAAAAGATTATTTTTGAATTAACTGCCCTGATAATATTTTTAAATTATTTAAAAATGTTAATGTTTAAAGATTTCGCCTACTTTTTAAAGAAAATTTTTTAAAAATTTACAACAAATATTTTGATAAAAATGATTAACTTAGAAAAAACAAAAAAAGATAAATTTAGAAAAAAAAGAAATAATTGTATATACATATTTATATATTTTTATTTATTTTTTCTAAAAGTTCAAAATTAAAAGAAAAGTGAATAATCAAGAAATATGATTAATTTAAAAAAATATTTTATTGCAAACAATTTAAATTTATATTTATTTTTAAATTTGTACTTTTTTTAAATTTTAAATATTTTAAATAATTTATTTTTGTATATAAAAATACAAATATTTAAATTAAAATTTATATTTTTAGTTACATTTCTAGGTCACTAAAAGGATTAATATATTTTTAAATAATATTAGAGAGAAATTGCTTAAAAATGATCAAACTTTGTATGTTTATTTGCAAATATTTAAATAAAACTTCATTCCTTTTTATCTAAATTTGTTTTTAATCGGATATTCTAAAATAAAATAAACAAAATCCCTAGATCGGAACGAATAAATGTTCAATTGAAGATTTGCTAAATATTGCTGGAAATGGAAAAAATTAGAGAGAATCGAAAATGTGCGAAACAAAAAAAGTTTCTCTCAACAAAACAAAACAAAGATTTTAAAATCGTTTCGTATACAAAATGAAATGAAGCAAAAATTTAATTTATTTCGTCAATTATTTAATGTTATTTAATTAGAAGAATCTTCTGGGACATGCTTTATAGCAAAAATAATTTTGAGTGTTATTATACATAGAGGAAAATATAAATAAAATTAAGTTTTCTTTTTTATGACGAAGTCCCATTGATGAAGTCACCAACCTAAATTTTCTTAAAAGTTCAAAAATATAATCTTTCTTTAATATTTTTCAGAATCAGCTTTTTAGTTTGATATATAGAAGGAAACTCGTTTAATTAAAAATTCCAAAAAAATAAAAAATAATTTTATTTTTTATTTAATTAAAATTAATCTTTTAAAGTTTTTTTAAATTTTTTTCTACATAAAAGCCTTTCATGTTTATATGTATTTTTATTTTTTTAAGATTGTTTCCCTAGGCGACTGGAAATTATTTATTTAAAAAAAGTTTGTGACAGAAATTAATGAAAAGATATGAGAGAATTTAAATATTTCTTAGCTTTTATTTTTTTGATTTTTAAAAAAATATCTAGAAATATTTTTTAATAATAATAATAATATGTACTTAGGTATTACAAAAACCTATTTAAATAAATAAAAAATAATAATTAAATTACCACGCAATAAGACAATTTTATTTTCATAAATTTGCTTAAGAATTTATTTTTATAAAATAAAAACCTTTAAATAAATTTTAGTATTTTATATTAATTTTTAGAAAAATTAAAATGGGTTATAAAATTATTATTGTCATTTTTTGCTTTTTAATTAATACAGTTGAAGGAAAAATATCTTCCGGAATATTAATTTCTAATAATGTTTGGAATTAAATTAAAAATTTATTAAAAAATTTTTTTAAAGGATTGGGAATATTTGGATAGATTCTGCTTTGTATCTCAAGAAGGAACATTTAAATACAATATTTATTATCCAAAAGTTTTTTTTAAATATTTTTAATAAATTTAAATACTTTAATTATTTCTACAATTATATTCAATATTTATTTAATTATTTTTCAGAATTTCGAACTTCAATCAATTTATATGTATTACGATACAGATAATCAATGGAAAGCTGCTTATAATAATGCCTCTTTAGTAATTTTTAAAAAATTTAATTTTTAATTATTTAAATAAATTTTCAAGACTTGCAATGATAGAGAACGACTTTTAGATCCTAAAAATTATCAAATAATTAGACTTGCCCCAAGCGCTAAATTTATAGATGAACATTCCAGTTGTGAAACAATTGAAAAGAATAATGAAAGTTGGTATCATTGTTTTGGAAAACGATCTTTTTTGTAAGAATTATTTTTAGCTTAATTATTTAATTAGTGTTCGGTAATCTGTATTATTCTAGAGTTGATAAAAAAATAATCTTAAAAAAGACTTAATAAATTAAATTAAATATTTTTTAAAAGTTCAATGCGGCCAAGATGGTGGTATTTTGCAATAGGAAATTGTGATTCACAAAATGGTCTTTATTTGGAATATTCTCTTTTAATGACAAATTCTCATAATAAAACAAATCGTTGGAAATATCATTTTTCTTTTGACGAATTTTGTAAAATTAATTTTAATTAATTAAATATTTAAAATTATTACTTATTTTTGCAGATGCATTACCAATTTCTTTATTATTTTTATTTTTAATTATTGTTGTTTTACTCTCTTCGATTATCTTTTCTTGTGAGTTTTTATAAATATTAAAGATAAAATTTCAAAAAAAATTTTTTAGATGTTTTAAAAAAACGTAAAATGCTGCATATAACATTTCGTTTATTTCTCCACTCACTTTTTTGTGAATTAATTGCTTCTACTTTACTTTGGATGCATTTTGATCGTTATGCAGATGATGGGGAAGGAATGCCTTTACTTAAATTTTGTTCGATGATTTTAAGGTTGTAAATAAAGTTTGTCAATCGGGAATGACCTGATTACATAAATAGCCTCGGTCTTAATTAAGAAAAGACCTACTAAAAATATCCCATTCATTACCATAACATCTAAAATTTGATATTTTCTATATTAGGTAAACGAAATGTTATTATGACAAAATATTTAAAATAATTTTAAAAACAATCTATTTTCAGACAATTTTCTATTGTGTTATTTGTGCTTCTTCTTTTCCTAATAGCTAAAGGATATACAATAACGAGAGCAAAGATATCAACATGTTCAAGCATAAAAATTGTTTTCTTTATTTCTGCTTATTTTATTCTTAGACTTTTAATGTTAGGATGGGAAATAATTGTAAGTATTTACAGAAAGAGGGGGGATGTTTTTTAAACCTCTGTTGAAAAGTATGGGAGATTTATCTTGAAAGGACAGCAATAGTACAAAAATTAGAAAAATACTTCCAATTCAAGAAAAAATAAAATATTCTGAAAATATTTTTTAAGATTTTCGACCCAGCTCAAATAACGTACATGTCAGAAAGTGTACCGGCGTATTGTATTATTTATTTAAATATTTGTGGATGGATTTGGTTCTCACGATGCAGCTGGGTTGTTTTATTATTATTATCAAATTATAAAATAATTATTTTAACATTTCAGGTAACAGTAAAGAAATACCCACTCAAAAAACGATTTTACATTTTTATGAATATTTTTAGCACTTTTTGGTTGGGTTTTCAATAAATATTAAAATATAATTAATTAAATTAAAGGTTTTGGTCAGGTCCAATCGTTTTAATTATTGCCAATTTTATTTTGGATAATTGGGTAAGAGAGGAAGTTGTTCAAGGTGTAGATTCTGCAATCATAACTGCTGGGTTTATCTTCTTTTTAGTACGTTTACTACAAAATTTATTCTAAAACTAAAAAAAATTCAGATATTAACATGCCCCTTCTGCAAAGCAAAACACTTTCCATACCATATACGAACAAATCAAATAGCCAATCAACAAAACAATTTTCCAAATAATGTGTATGAAATAGGTTAAATTAAAATTTATTTAAATATAGCCATAATATTTACATTTTGTAGGTGCAATACAGAACGGCACAACAAACAACAGTGCCTGAAAGATATAACTACCATAAAATATCAATAGACTAGAAAATTAAAATCCGGTTAATGATGATGAAGCCAGGGCTGGAAAAAGGCAGATGCCCCTGGCGATTGTCTAATATAGTCTTTAGATTTCTTTGTTTTTAAATTTTATATCTATTTTGACAAGTCATTGTATGAGACAAATGAAAGAAACTTATAAATAGCCCAAAGTTTATCATATATTAGGTAAAAACATCAAATTTTCAAAGTAAAAAATTAAACAATTATCTTTACCATCAAAAATATTATCCATACTATTCAAATAATTTAAAATTGGGGTGTTCTTAGATTTTCACTAAAAAGAGTAAAAGAAAAGGTAAAATGTTTAGAGTAAAATTCAAAATAAGATGAAAAAGTAACAAAATAATTGAAAAGTCCAAAATAAAAATATACAGTTGAATCTCGTTATAGTCCGCCAGTAGAATGGAGCCAAAAAGTGGGATCACGTCGAAGAAGCTTCATTTAGACATGTTAAAAAATAACACAATTTGGTGTTTCTAATGTGAAAGCATGGCTGTTCGTGGGGGGATTTTTTATTACCGGCGGTGCTATAAAGGGATTCAAATGTATATATAGTGCCCAGTGAATATTTTAATTGATATCATTCAAATTCAATTTCCGTATTTACTAGTTGACGGCCGAGGATCAACAACATTATTGTTTTCATTTTTGATACAAATTGGAATAATCTTAAAATATTTAGTTATGATTGATGTTAAATTATAGAAAAGCCCAAGACTCATTTGAGACTTATCAAAGTAAGATCCTAGAATGTTTAGAAGTTAGGTTTTAGATTGTTTATCATATTTACATACATTTGTTTTTCCAATCTTAATTCAAAAGTAGTTTCTAAAAGGCAAAATAAGGACCCGTAATTTGTTTTCTAGGTGACAATTATAAAAATGCTTTTATTAAGGTTCAATACCCGAGAATGGATGAGAACTTACAGTATTTCGAGAACTGATTTTATCATTATTTTCAGAATAATCACTTTCCAAAGTTAAAACAGGCCATTCAGTAAGCTGATTCGATGCACTCTCTTTTTTAAACGCAGGTAATCCAATCTTATAATCATGTAAGACTTCGCCAATTATTTCAACATCTAATTGAGAATCTGTAGCTTTTTCGAGTTGAGGCATTGTCTATAAATAATTTTTTAGTCAAATAAAGTATTTAACTAACAGAAATATCGTTGTCAATTGAAATATCCTCAGAATTATCCAAAAGAATATTATCATCATTTTGGTTGATCAGTTCATCGGTCTATAAATTATTTAAATATGAATAAAAATAATATAATTTTCTATTGTTAATAGAACAAACAAAAGGATTTATCGGATTTAAATATATCATTCAGAAATATTTAAAATTAAGCGGTTGTCAAAAAAATTTAGTCATTTTCAAAATTTAATTATCCACCTGTTCGGAAGGCAAAGCATTTTGTGTAATATCCATGTTTATCTGGTTATTTCCAAATCTCTCTTGTAATTTTTCCTCCAAAGAAGCAATTCGTTCGAGTACATAATTGTATTTTTGATCCATTTCTTCTGATAACTTTAAAATAAAAATAAATTTAGAAAATTCTTGAAAGACAAACTTTCAATCTATTTGCCCTTTCTTCTTTACATTCCATACGAACTGCTTCAATTTGTTGTTGAATTTGATCAATACGCCTCTAAAATAAGTCCAAAAATGTTATTCAAAATATAAAAACTTACAAGCATATTTTCAAATCTATCATTCAATTCGGTATTGTGTACATTCAAATTATCCGGCAAATCCTGATCTTCATTTAGTGCAGTCTCTGTTATTGGATTCTTAAAATATCATTAACATAAACACAAATATTCATTCTAAAATAACCATCTTGAATTGCTTTTCCATTTCGTTGCCAATTGACTGCTTTGCCATTTCTAATTGTTCAATTATTTCATCAACGGAACTGCTATGTGGACCATCTCTCGTTAGTGGCAATCCAGACACTTTTAACGAACGAATTTGCAAGTTCTATTAAATTAATAGACGAAAAAGTTAATAAAATTTATATAAAAATACCAGAGGTTTCTTCAACTTGGTGATTGTTTTAGTAATTACACTTCCATTTCCTCTAGCTCGCAACTTAAAATTCAAAAATATTTTTGCTAGACACAAACTGGTAAAAATTTAAATTCGAATTAAACTCGAAAACTAATGGCGTGAATAAAAACGTGAGTTTTACAAAAAAAAAAAATAGAAAAAAATCCGTTATAAGTGCTACAAATATATAAATAAAAAATATAACCAACTTTTACAATAGCATAGGACTTGGAAAGACGATCTGCACCCGGCATTTTTATGTATAGTAATAGAAAGAACTAAAAATCTAAAAATAAAATATTTCACAAATATGTAAAAATTAAAAAGGATTTCTTCCTTTCGTTACAAAATCAAAAGTAAAATAGTAATAAATTTAAATGATTCATTTTCAAAAATTAATAAATGAAAAGTTATTAAATTAAAATTATTGGGCACAAAGATATGAGAATCGGACTAAATTATTATATTTATAGGAAATTAGTGCTTAATTAGTATAAAATTTATCTAGTAATGTTTTTTCCTATTCCAACACCTTCTTTTTCGTTTGATTGCAAAGCAAGTTTATTCAGCAAATCATCGATTTTATTGCATTGACGTCCTCCCTCAATTGCTATTGCGGAAGGCATTTGTCCTTCATTTTGCAAATTTAATATAATGAAATTTTCCAAAAATTATACCTTTATGTGTTCCAAATTGTCGAGGATTGTGAGATTTAACATTTTCATTGGGAAAATTTTTGGGATTATAGAAACTCAGAAATCTAGTTGGATCATTCACTTCTAACTCCTCTGTATTTGGAACAGTCGTTTTTGTGTTTCTAAAAATGATTGTTTAAATGAAATATTTTAACTTCCTACTTATCAATTGAAGAATAAAGTTTATTATGAGGATAATTCCTAACATTTTCTGTGCCCATAATTATGTTACTTGATGAAGTTTCTTCATGATCCATGCTTTGGCCAACTTAATATTAATTATAAACAATTAATATTCCCCACTATGCTTCCATAATTTTAAAAGATTTCCTAGATTATCATAAACAAATGAATCTGTAGTCTTTTTCATGAACCCTTTTTCTCATATGCTTTCAATTACATAAAATGAAAACAATAAGAGATCGTTAATTCAAAATAAACCTAGAATAAATATAATCAAAGATCAAATTGTAAACCAGAAAATTCATGATCCCGTGTTAACTAAAAAACTACCTTCTAAAGAATATTTGGTGTAAAAGTCGTCATTGAATTTCTCAGGTTGTATTTCTCGTCTCCCCGTAGCAGTCAACTTTTGTTCTCTCGAAGTTACTAAAATGTTAGAAAAAATTTTAGCAATTAATAATTAAACAACCTCTATTTTTTGCATTTGGACTTGTAATACACCCGGTTTGATTAAAGTCTTCACTATTTAAAAAATTCAATTCTCTTTCATTTATTGTTTCACCAAATTGTGGTTGTTCACAAAAATTGGGAAGTTGAATAGGACGTCCCAAAAAAGGCACTATATTTTGGGGGTTTTTATAGTTGTAAGGAAATAGCGAAGCTTCAACACTTCCACAACTCCATTGTTTTCCATCGCCATCTAATCCATCGATACTATAAATAAAAAATATTTTATTTTTGTATTTCTTTATAAGAGATAAAGTGTTAACAATTTTATTTTTAAAAATAAAAATTAACCCTGATTCATCGTCAACAAATAATTCCAATTCTGTATCTGCTGGAGTATCCAAACCGCTATTAAGGTTGTACTTCTCATATTTAGGTCCAGGCAATTTTTCGTCGAAAATTTCATTGCAATGGACTATTAAATTTTTAATGACTTCGTTGACAGAGTTTTGATAAATTACCTAAAGATTAAAAAAATAAATATTAAAATTCTCACTTGGTCTTTTCCTTCAGGAATTGGTAAAAGAGTAGGTCCAAAACATATAGCCAAATTATAAGTATCCTATAAAAATAAATTTCAAAAATTCCAAAAAAAAACATTCAAAAATACCATCATATTTTCGTCACTAAATTCACTTAAATGTTTAAGGAATGCAAATAAAAATCGGAGAAGAATATATGAAGAACGAGGCAATTTGCTTATTAAGGGTCTAATTTGGGCAATAAAATCTGATATTTTATGATATTTTGCACAATCTGAATTAAAATTAAAAATAAATTGAAATAAAAATACCTGTTAACAAATCAAATAAGTAGAAAGGAAATAAAGGCTCTTTAAGCTCTCGAAAATACAATTTTAACAATCCAGCAATGCTGTTAGTATCTGTTGCACTTTTAACGTCTTTCAAAGGATCCTCACCTAAATTTTTAAAAATTTCATAAATTTCAGGTTATTTATAATGCTACCATTTTCAAAAGCCTCACGCATCCGGTTTATTTCTAAAGTTAAATTAAAAAAAGATAAAGATTAAAAACAAACCAATCTGAGATCCACTAATTCTAAATACTCCTTGATGTTGTAGTGCAAACAGAGAAAGCGCTCGAATGCAGCTTACAACAACAAGAGGAATTTGTTCCCCAGTACCATCTAGAAATTACCAAAATTTAACAATAAACTAGTAAAAACCTGTATATTGTTCCAAACTGCCTCCAAATAACTTTGGACGTAATGTCCAAGGGGAAGAAAATTGGCATTCTGTTGAGGTTTGTGACCCAATTCTTCTTTTTGGTCTTTGATGAATTATTGTCTCAATTTCAGATCCGTCAGTGTCGGATTTTTTCTCAATAGAAGAATTACCTAAAAATAAATAGAATTAAATTTATTTACAAAAATAAACCATTCAATCTATCACCGTCAGAAATATTTTGTTTTGATGAAGCCACATTTATATTTCTACATTTTAATCCATTATTGATTCCATTAGCCCTAGCTTCTAATCGAGAGATTAAATTAGCATTGAGAAGGAAGAATGTGAATGACTGAATTTAAAATAATTATTTTAATAATTTTACTTATTTTAGATTGTAAAGATAGAAAACATGAAATAGAAATTTTTAATAAAGATTACTTGTAAATAAGATTCAAAAATATTGCTAAGTTCCTGTTCCACCAATTCAGTAGATGGCCTTTTATCCGAAATTCCAAATTCATTAATCTCAACAATTGTAGACACAGCAAGTAATTCTAAATAATTTCAGATATTTTAATAAAGAAAACTTTCAACAAGAAAACCTTGCATTTTCTTTTCCATTTCAACCAATTTTTGCCAACTCCCTTCAGATTCCATTCTCAAAATTTCTAAACGTTTTCTTATTTGATTATGCCGTTGTTTAAATTCTTCTCTTAAATCGTTTGTTGAAATTTCAAAAATTGTTTCGCTTTGTTCACATCTTAAATCAATAAATTAACAGATTTTAAAATTAATCAAACTTGAAATCAAATCTTTTTGGTAACATAAATGTTTGATTGCTGCTCTCAAAAAATCGTTGTTTATCATCTCTCGATTGCAAAGAGTCACGAAATCCACTCAGATTTGCAAGTGCTATTAAATTTTATTTAATAAATTTTCAAAAAATATAACGAAAACCATTCATTTCCGATTGACACGCCGATTTTCTCGCAGCAATTAAATTTTGAAGAATCATGCGGAGCCAACAGTCTAATCCCAAATCTTCACACTAGAAAGAAAATTATTGAAAATATATAAGGGAAGGCAATAAAAATTTTAAAAAGAAGAGAGGAAATTAGTTGGACTTTAACGAGAAACAAAAGATTTTTTTAGGCAAACAGAAAGAGAACAACATTAATCTAATAAGACTTATGCTATCCCAATTGCCTAATATCAATTAAATAACAAACATCAATAATATTGGATACATCATCAGCAAAATACTTGTATAGAGACGAATTAGCCGCATCAATACAAAGAAGATACTATTTAGAAAAAATAAAATTAAAACAAAAAAATATAAAAACTTCATTTCGAGCACGCATACATTTTTGCCTAGCTATTTCATATTTTTCATTTCTCTTAAAAAATTAAAAATAAAGAAAACAAAATTAAAATTAAATACTTTTTCATAAGTTTTTTGTATAGAATTCTGCTTTCGTAGTGAACTATTTGCCTCCATTATTTTTCTTTTTTGTTCTTCAGCATTGTGAAGTTTAGCGCTCAAAACAGAAAATTCATTGTAACAATTCTGAATTTATTTAAAAAATAAAAATTTAAAAAATAAATTTACATGATAAGTTTTCATAGCCAAAGAGAGCCTAAAAATTAGAAAAAATTATTTAAAATAAAATTTAATTAGAAAAACTCATTTAGAACGCGCATAACTTCCCCAGCCGCGAGAAGAGCAATATCACGACACTTTAAATATTATTTTTATAAAAATATTTTAAAAACCTTTTTAGACATTTTTTGGAGTGAATTACATTTATTATTAATTCCTGGAATTATGTAATTTGTACAAACCTTTTAAAGAAAAATTAAAAATTTTTTAAAAAAAATAAAAAATACATCAGCAATTATTGACCGTTGTTTAGCTTCATCTTTAGCATCATCTACAATTTGTTGCCATAAATTACATATTGAATAAATCGACCAATTAGGGCGTCTAAAGAAATTATTTTTAAAACAAAATCAGAAAATTCTCCAACCTTTGTCTTTCAGCTTTGTGTCTCATCATAACAGATTTAACTAGTTTGTCAAGCTCTTTTGAATATTGCAAATCCAATTCTGCACGTTTTTTGAGGAAATCATTAATTTCTTGAAATATAGCAACTTTATCATTCGATCGTTGTTCCAAACATTTTATTTGTTCAAATAATTGAGAACGTATTTCTTAAGAAAAAAATGTTAATTATTAAAAGCAAGGTAAGTACCTCGAGATTGGTGTTGTAAATCTTGTTGGGAGACTTTTCGGTATGTCATTATTTTTAATTTTGATTTCAAATAAAGCTGTTAGACGTTGTTTCAGAATTAAGAAAAATATAAAAATAAATTGCTGGAACAAACAAAAGACCTAAAATTAATTAGCTATAATTAGTCTTTTTCTCTCACCAATTCTCATTTTTAAATGTACTATTTCGTTTCAACTCCGATAATACTAGGCCAGATATTTTTGCAAATTTTTGCAACAATTTAAAGCAAAAGACCGTAGATATCAAAAATAGCCTATTACAGTACCCAATGAATTCGTTTTAGAGATAAAAGAGATTCCAGGATAATAAGTATGGTAGTATAAAAATTAAATTTTATTAACCTAGAATCCGTTCACTCGGTATTAACATAAACTTACTCATCCGTTGGTCAACACCCTTTCGTCACGACGAGGCCTTCTTCTCGAGACCTCACTTCAACTTTGGGATTGCTCCGAGGTGGCTTGAAGCACTCCAACAACAACTCGTTTGATAAACACATGCGACGCTCAGTATCAGTACCTCCGTCTTCTAGACATGCCAATTCTGCAAACCCTCCACAAATCAGAAGAGCAGTTTCTGACATTGCAATCAATGAAAGTGTGGTATTCTTCGAGAGACCGAACCGATTTGCTGATAGGGCAACCATTCAAGTTAGTGAAATAATTTGATAATTATGTATATGTAGATTCTAAATATTTTAAAGGTGTTCACTGATGGCTCTACTGATCATTATAGAGGTTCTGGGATTGGAATGTACTACGGCCGAGATCATCCCTTGAATAGAGGCGTTTATTTACGAGACGTAATCAACAGTGGATTGGCCGAGTTGATGGCAGCAAGAATTGGACTAAACAATTTGTTAAGATGGTCATCATACAAGTGATATTTTCACTGTTTTTGTTTGTAATTTAAACTTTTTAGTGGCGAAAATGTGGATCTAAACTCTGATTATATACAGATTGTCCGTGGATTGCAGTCCGACAGTAGCGATTGGGCATTTTCTGATGATTATCAACGACTTAGAGATGTTGCTGGACAATTCCCTCGTGGTGTTTTGTTCCGATGGGTTCCTGGGCATGCGGGTATTGAAGGGAATGAAGCGGTCTGTCATTGATTCAGAACAGTTGATTTAATTGTTTGCAATTTTAGGCTGATGCTTTAGCACGACAAGCACGTGAGACTGAAGGGGAATCCAACAACTACAACACAAGGAGACGTGAAAGTAGTAGTCACAGGCGAAATTCGCAATCTCCAGCTATTTCGAATAATTCGCGGCGGACTAACTCCTCAATTACTATATCTTCCGTTTCTTCTAACAATACTGGTGGAGGCTCAAGTAGATAAAACCCTTAAATTTTAAGCTAAAATAAAAATTTTAGGGAGTAGAAGTCGTCAACGACAACATAGAAGTCGGAGCATGAATAGGAGTATGAGCAGGCATCGACGCAGAGATAGGCAACAATCAGAAAGGAGTCGTAGTCGTAACAGGAGTCGACAAAGAGGAAGGAGCCGGCAAAGAAGCAGGAGTCGACGAAGAAACAGAAGTCGAAGTAGGAGCAGGAGTCGGAGAACTAACAGATCAAATTCTTCCGCTAGAAGTGCTGAATCGATGACACGCTCTGTATTCATCTCCCCGAGATCGGCGATATAAAAGATAATAAATAAATATTGTAGATATGTATAAAACCAATAAGAAATCTCTAATTGTAAATATGTGTGATTTGTGTAATATTGTTTTTATGAACATAATATAGTAAACGAATCTAATATAGTAGACTTAATTTACAAATTGTCCCAAAAACAATTAAGATTTTTTTGTTCATTTTTAAAAAACTTCTGAAAAATCATTCTTTAAAAATGACATCAAAATTAAAATTAAGGAAACCATAAAACTTAAATAATTTAAAGCATCTATTAATGTTTGATTTATTAAAATTCTTTATTTAGAATTATGTATAATTTACTATAAGGTTTCTACATACTTTTAATTTTTGCTTTAATTAATAGGCCAATATTCGTTCCTTTTTTGTTTAACATTTTTGATCAAATTAAAATAATTTTTTGGCCGTAGCTGTTTTCTTATAATTTAACAACGTAATAACGTTATTTGAAATTAAAATTTCTTTTCTATTTATAACTAAATTATATCCGTTTCCATAGCGGCATTTTTATTTCAAACATGCGTAAAATGAACGTGTGGAAATTTTTAATGTTAGTGGAGTCAAGAGGATTAGAACATTTTTACAAACCAACTTTATTACTGTTTAAAACCGAGTAAAACAACCTTTAAAACCTTAAAAAGAAAGGAAAATATTTTAGAATTTGTAAAAAAGTATTTTAAATAAAATAATATTTTCTTATTAAATAATTAAAATTTAAATGCGAAAATATTGGTGGATGTTTGATGGACTTTTTGCTCCAGCAATTGGAATGATAATTTATTTTTTAGTTTTATTTTGGAGATATAAGGGAATTACAAGTCCTTATCATTTAGTAAGCTTTTATTAAATGTTTAAATTTATTTGATTTTTTTATTCATCTTACGTTTACTGAAATACTAAATAATTTCAAATTTAAAAATCTAGCGGATTGAAGATAATTTATTGTATTTTCGAATTCTCAATTAATAAACTAATCCTTCCAGTTTTCCCGATAAATTAATATTATTTGCACTAAATTCAATTTAAATTTCCCAACAGATGTTAACAATTTGTGTCATTTTCTCCATATTATTTTTGTCAATCTTCCTTTATAAACTTCATTTTATGCCAAGATTGGACGATCCATACGATATTCCTTGGCCAAGTTTTATTTGTATGATTGTAATGGGTACACTTGTAGCAATGGGATATGCATTTCATTTTGTTTGATTAAAAAATTATTTAAAAGGATTTTTTGTTTAAAGTTATTTAAACTGGCATTTCAAGACTGTCCACATGTTAGCGATGGAGATATAATTACTTTACTTATTAGATCAACACAACGTGCAGGACTTGTTGTTTTTGCTATACTTTCTGTATTTTACCTTATTAGACGGTAACTGGAAATTTTTTTTAAGGAACTATTAAATATAATTAAACGAAAACTTCTTTATTAGCTAAAAAACTTCCTCATAATATATATTAAACTCATCGCCATTTTCGAGTTAAAATTGACCCGGTGTAAAATTAGCCTCATGATTTATTTTTAAATAAATTAAATTGTTTTTTAAAGAGCTAATTTTGGTTCATTAAATACTTGTTTTGATACACTGACACGTACAATGTTCAACTCTACTTTAGTGTTATTCCGTCTTGATTTAATAGGTTCAAAAGTTTATGGAACAATTGAGGTATGTTTTTGATATTTAATTAAGCTAATAATTATTTTCTTAAGGAATTATGTCAAGATGAGACTGTTCAAATGGCTCTAGAAATATTTTGCCCTGAAGAAACTCATAGTCATTTACAGGGAAATATGTGAATACAAATTATTTTTTAAATTAAAAAATATTTTCTTTTAGAAATTATTGTAATGCATCAACAGAAAAAGAACTTGTTTGGGTTGGATTAAGTAAAAATCTTCTTTATCCAGGAATTATTAGTTTGGCTACAGAATTTATTCCTGTTCTACTTGTTGTTCATTGGTTATTATTGTCTTGTAATTTAAATAATTAAAAAAATATTTTAAGGCTAGTTTGTGGTTATGGAGAGAAAAGAGCTGAATTTTTGGCTAAAAAGAAAATGGTAATTAAATATTAAAATAAAATTTTCTCCCAAGTCCTATCCTTATAACATGATACCCCAAATACCAACGAGTTGGGTGACATATTTAGGTACCTTTTATTTTTTATTTCTAGTTAACATCTGCTTTAAAAATGCCTGGTTTTGTTTTTAATATGGCATTACCAGAGGTAATTTATTTTTTAAAGAATAAATATTTCAAAAATTATAAATTAAGGGAAGTATTCGCCCCCCAGCAAAACCTCAAAATGCTCCACCAATTCCCAGCTGGAGTGAAAATATAATGAAAAATTTATCTAAAATTTTGTTTGGGATGGGATTTTTAATTTGGTTATTTTCTTTTTATTTGTATTTGAGAATGAATGGAGTTAAAGATGGAATACCTATATTACAATCACCTTCAGATAATTTAATTAATGAATCTGTCTCTGTTACTAAATTTGTTTTTGCTTTAACGCAAATTGCTCTTCGAATTTTGGTTATTTTTATATATCTTCTGTACTAGGCAGGCAATATAAAGTTAACAAATTATTAGTTCATTTATAAACCCACACTAATTTTGAAATTATTATTAAAATTATAATTAAGCTTTATAATTGGACAAGGAAAATTCCTTGTGAAACATTAGATGTTATATACAGAGCTGATTCTTTTGTTGATAAATTAATGATGTTTACAACCTTGCCATTTATGGTTCCAGCTTCATTGGCCCAATTCCTTGAACGTCTTTATTTCTTCAGAAGTAATGGAAGTGGTACTTCTTTAGTAGAAGCTGTTGTTCTTCTAGATGCCCCAATATTACTAAATATTGTATGTTATACTATTTATAATTTATTTTTCAGAGAGAGAGAGTGACCCCTTTTTATAACAGAGTGACCCCTTCCCTCTCTCTAAATTATAAAAATTAAAATATTTAATTATTTTTTAAAAAGGTATCAAAATGGCTAGAAGCATTTTCTCTGTGTACACTAATTTCTTTACCAAAAACCGTTCTTCATCAACATAAAGGGCTTTTCCAGGATTTAATTATAGCTTCAATCGGGCTTAACTTTTTTGATTTCTTCTCAACATATTTTTCCCTTGATGAAATAATGCATCATATAGATTACTTTATTGCTTCTTTTCGAGTAAAAGGAAATACTTTTGATGAAGTTTTTACAGTTATTGGAGTCTTGGCCAAACTTTTAACATTTTCGAATTTTCTTTTTACTTTTACTTGTGCTTTGGCATGGTGTGAATTATTTTTGAGGTAAAAAATAAATAAATATTTGTAAATAAAATTTAAATA